GCCGGGAGCCGCGGGACCGGGAGGAGGAGGACGAGGACGACGAGGAAGGCGCCGGCAGCCGCTGCGCCCCGTCTCCCCCGCCGGCTCCGGCGAACTTGGGGGAATTCGCGGCCATCCGTCCCCTTGCCATTTTTGGATGCGTTTTATAGCCGATTTTTTTTTTTTCTTGGGGAGGAAAAAAAAAAGGAAAAGAGAAGACCCGGCGGTGCTCCTCCGCGCGGCAGCGGGACGGGGCACGGTGGGGTGAAGGGAGCGACAATGCCATCATGTTTTTGAGACAGGAAGCCTCCGAGTTTGCCCTGAATGAAGAACTTCCTGTGTTTAAACTTGCACGAATATCCGCTGACAAGCTCAGTTCAAATGAAAACACGAGAGTCGGGGGGAGAGGCTAATTTGGAGCAGCTGGACTGTGCGGGACGGCAGCGGGTGGAGGACGCGAGGAGCCACGGTTTGTGCACTGCCCGGACCTTTGCTGCTAGAGGGGGACACACGGGATAAATCAGCCACTCCGAACACCTCCGCATCTCCTATTGCAAACGGTGATCGGGAACATTTATCGGAGCTGTCGTACTCGTCGGGTTTTGCTGGCAGATGGCTTTTTGGGGATGAGAGGTGCTGTTCTGCTGCCCGAGACCCACGGTGTGGCTGTGCATCGGCCCTATCGGCCCGCGGCCCCACAGCTCCGCCTGGCTGGGTCCAACGCGGTGTGATGGTCCCTGCGGCGCCGGGCGTGAGGTTGACGGGGAGCTTCTGTCATCCGTAAGGGTGAGAGCATGGGCAAACCACTGAGCAGGCCAGACTGTCTACGGCAGAACCGCACTTGCCTGGGGAAGGGTGAGGAGGAGGACGGCTACATAGAGGACTGCTACGTGCCCCAGCGCTCCATATACGACACGATGAGAATCAATGAGCAAATCGACCAGGGATCGAAGCTCAACCAGCTTTCGAAGAGCACCCTCGGCAAGGGGGATGGCAGCACCATCTCCAGCAATGGGACACTGGGAGCTGCCAACGTCTTTGAGCCGAGGGCGCCCGAGGCGAAGAAGCTGGACGAGCGAGTCATCTTCGACGCGCTGAAGCTCAGCAGCGACATCTCCAAGCCGGCGCCGCCTCCACCCCGCAGGCGGCCAAACCCTGAGAGGAAGGAGAACGTGAATCGGCGGTCATGGAAATCCTTCATGCCACCCAACTTCACCGAGTTTGCAGAGAGGATGGGGGCCTCACTCAGCGAGGTGTCGGAAGCGGGTGCCTCCAACCCCTCACTGCGGGATAAGAGGGACTCCAGTGCTCTGCTGGCTGAGCACGCTGGGCAGCCCGACCGCAGCGAGCCCATGTCCGAGTCGCTCACTTTGGAGCACGTGTCCAAGTCATCTGGCACAACGGAAGCTGTGCAGTTTGCCGCAGACTCCTATGGCTGTGCTGCAGATGAGCGCCAGCCCCTGCTGCCTGCTGGTGATGGCCATGCTCGAGCCACAGAGCTGGCCAGGGCTCGCCTGCTGCCCAGTGCCACGTGGCCGCGGGCCAGGAAGAACTTCCCCAAGGCCAGCGTTGGCAATGGGCGACAGGAGACCCTGGAGGCTTCCGAGTCGGACTGCACAGTGGAGAACGTCAACCTTTCCCCATGCCTGAGCGAGGAGCTCCTGGATGCGGGACTGAATATTCTCATTACCACCAATCTCAGAGAAAAAACTGAGTCTGAGCTGAGATTTGAGGAGGACGAGCGCTGGGTGATGATGGAGGAGTGGGAGGAGGCGACGCTGTCAGAGAGAGGAAAGGCTGTGCTGGTGGCAGAGGAAAAGAAGAGCTGTTGCTTGGCAGATATTTCTGAAGAAAGGGAACACTTCACTGCTCCTGGGGACAGCTCTGCCCCCAGCCCAGGCACTGTGCAGCCCTGCAGCCCCCAGGGCAGTGCCAGCAGCCCCACTGCCGGCAGTGCATGCTGCACTGAGGATGTGGCAGTGCAGTGCGAGGCCACAGACTTTGCTGCAGGTTTGGAGCGCTCGGCCAGCCCCGCCATCCCCGAGCTGTCTGATACAGACTCAGTGCAGATGTTCCTGGAGCTGGAGGAGCAGTGTCTGAATGAGGATGAGGGTGATGGGGCCATTCCTGCCCTCCTGGGTGCTCGGTTCTCCCCAGTGGACTCGGAGGGGCTGGACCCAGGTTTGGAGAAACTGACAGGGACAGCAGATGAAGCACGTGAGCCCATGGCCCCGTTGGAAGTCAGTGCTTCAGACTCTGCTGTTGTGTCAGATCTGGAGGACTTTGATATCACCTGCAGCTCACAGGTGCTGAGCACAATGGAGCCGGTGACAGAGCCCTTCTCTGAAAGGGACACCTTGGCCATCACCCCAACGGACTCGGATGGAGGGACCTCGCCCAGCCCTATGGCCACAGTGGGGATGGACTCCAGCCAGCAGTGCTTGCTAGCTCTGGTAGAGGATGCACCTGACCCACTGGCAGACGTGGGGCCCATGGGCTGTGCAGCGGCAGTGCTGGTGGCTGCTACAGTGGTATCTCCTGAGACTGGTTTGTGTCCAGCCTTCAGCCTCGAGGGAGCTGCTCACCCTGGTGTCCCCATGAGGTGGGAAGGCGACCACCAAGACTTGTTTGTCCCCTCTGATGAAGTGCCGCAGTGCCCTGAGGAGCCCTCTCCTGTCTCAGTATCCCCATCCTGGCTGTCTCCCTGCCAGCCCCCAGCCCCTGGCACGGTGGCCGAGGGGCTGGGGTCCCCTGTGCAGTACCACGAGGCCATTGCTGGAGGGAAGGACCCATCATACATTTGTCACCTTCTGCCTGGAAGGACTGAGCTTGCCAGCTACAATGTCCCAGAACTGCTTTCTGAGGACAAAGCCATGGATTTGGGAAAGGAAAGCGATGGATCTGGGGGCCAAACTTGCTCAGAAGACAAGCACTGTCCCGGCAGTCCTCTGCCACCATTCCACACGGGCTCTGCATCCCAGCCAGGCTCTGAGGCTGCAGTGCTGCCCTCAGCACCTGCAGAGGAGCACCTGTGGGACGCGGTGACCTCAGGGCTGGAAGGCTGTCCTTGCACTGAGGGGTCGCCGGCGGAGGTGGCTGTCCTGCAGCCAGGAGACCTGGCCCTGCTGTTCGCCTGCAGCTGGGAGGAGCGGCCGTGCCTTGCCGTGGGGAGCAGTGCTGTCATCCCAGAAGGGCTCGGCACGTCACCTGCCGCTCTCAGTGCCGCTCTGTGGGGCCCGGAGGGGCTTCCAGCTCTGGCTGACCCAGCAGTGCTGGGGGACCTGGAGGTGCCGGAGCCCTGGGCTCAAGCGGCAGCGCCGGGTGCTGGGGGTTTTACTGTGGATGCTGAGGAGCCTTGCGCTGAGCACCCGCCCCTGGGTGCCAGCGCCGCCGCTGTGCCCTTGGTGGTGGAGGAGCTTCTGGAGGCCCCGCCGCCATTTGCTGATGTCCCTGTTGGCTCTGTGCCGCCACCACCAGAGGCCGACCGGCTCCTCACAGGTGCCAGGGACTTCGGCGGCAGCCCGGTGCTGCTGCTCGCTGCCTGGCAGGATGCAGGTGACTCTGCCGCCGTGGAGCAGCTGCTCAACAGAGCGCTGACTTTGCAGGATGAGCCCGTTGCTGTGGGGGCCGCTCTGGATGGGGCCGAGGGCTGCACGCCGGGCCCTGTGGGGTCAGAGCCGGTGCCCGTGGGCTGCTTGGGACCCCCTGCCTCCGCCCCCCGCGCAGAAGGGCCTCCTGCTCCAGCAGATGGATTCGTTCCAGATAATGAGGTATTTGTTGCTCAGGCGCTCGCAGACGGCGCTTCAGGCACAGAAATCGCTTTATGCCGCGGCAGAGGGTGGGTGTGAAACGCAGCGCGCTGCATTGCTCACCAGCACGGCCTGTGGGGTGCAGCGGTTGTCTGCTCAGTACTCGCACGGGAGCTGCAGTGCCCCCAGTTGCATCTTAAAAGTGACAGGCAGAAAGTTTCTTTTTGTGAGCAGAAGGCTTCAAGAGATCATCTAAAGCGTTGTCCTAAAAGTTTGTTGGCTTGTGAGGGCACGCTGTCCTCCCTCAGACAGAGCTGCCGCCCGGCCGCACGGTGCTCACCAACCTCCGGAGAGCAGCCGTGCCAGAGGGCAGCGTCCTGTAATGCGTGAAAGCAATGGGCCCTGGGCTGAAAGAGCTTCCCAAACGAGCGGTGCGGGGGGTCCGGGCTTTGTGGGAAGGGGGTTGAGCTCCCGGTGGGGTGGGGTTCATTCTACCCCGCTTTGCTATGGCTTTGGCATGGAGAGAGCTGAGCGGCGTGAGTGTGGCAGAGTTCCTGTAAGTGAGTGCGGATTTACTGCTGTCTGGATTAGGAGAAATACCACTGAGGAGCCGCCAGAAGTTAGTCAGCACCGAGAGCCCAGAGCAGCAGAATTACTCATCTGCTGCACTCTGCCACCCCTGAGAATGCCTGCAGATGGGCTGGGGAGGCCATGCTGGGAGCAGTGGGCTGCACCCCTGGGGGCTCTGCCTGTACCTCAGGTCACTGACTGTGCTGAACGGACTGTAGGGTGTGTGGTGCTGCTGGTCATTAACCCCTTTATACACTGTGCTGTGCCAATGGGGCTGTTGGCAGCTCTGGGCCTGGTGCTGCCAGTCAGTGCCCACCCCAAAGAGGTGGGGATGGAGCTGGGATGGAGGCGGTCAGCCCGGAGGTGGGAAGAGCAGGAGGTGAGGGATGCTGCAGGAGGTGTTCTGTGAAGTGAGGAGGACGAGGAGCAGCTGTGTGTCTGCTCCCCAGCATGCCTGTCCCCCCGCTTCGCCCCGTGTGCATTTCTTGGGATTTTCTGCATGGCCAAAGGTGCTTGTTAAATATTTGTTTCGTAGCTGAGTCACGCTGAGGTTAATGAACTAAATCAGTGGAATCTTTCACAAGCAAAGAAAAACAAGCGTGTTCAACATGTCGTGATTATCGCAGTGATCCTTGTGCATCGCTGCAGTCCTGGGCCGTGGGTGTTGCAGGTATTTGCTGCCTGATGTTGGGGCTCACCACCTCTCTGCCCAGCTGCTGGAGTCCCCGGGGTTGTAATTGCAGTCAGTGCTCCTGTGCAGGGCCAGGCTGTGCAGGGCCGGGGCTCACACCGCGCTGCGCTCCAGCAGTTGCGTGCCAGACTTATCAGCCCGCTCCTCGTGGGTTTGGCCGCTCTAACAGCCAGCTCCGTGTATCAACAGTAAGGGGAGAGGTGGATGGGGAACCGGTGATTTCATGTCACCATTTACTGCTTCTAACCATATGTAATCCTCCCTGAGCAAACAGCTCTGGGCAATGTCTCCCAGCACCCCCTTGGGTTTGTGCCCTGCAGCGGTCCGTGCCTCCTCCCCCAGCACCAGGAGGTGCCCATGGTGAAAACAGGGACAGGACATCCAGGCAGCCCCTCTTCCTCATGTAGATCTGCATTTTGGTGTTCTGCTTTTTGTGCCTGTGTTCCTTCCGAGATAAAGTGGTTACCTGGTGCGGAGAGCTGCGCTGCCCACCATCCGCCGCTCTGCTGGGAGGGGTTTTGCATTTTAGGCTCTGTTTCCAGGGGCATTTTTAGCTGCAGGCAGCAGCCGTGTATTCTTGGGTGCGTGAGGAGGAGGCGCAGTGGGGAGCGGACGCGGACGCCTGCCTGCGGTCCCCGCTGCTTCCCAAAAGAGCAAACACTGCAGCAGGGCTGAGCGCTCTGCTCTCATCCTTACAGTGCTGGCTGCGGGGTGACCTGCGCTCTGTTTGAGCTCGCAGTCCAAAGTCCCAGAATAAACAAGGAGACACTGCACTCCCTTTTTTGGGGATTGTGTTGCAGGCGATGGGGATGCGCGGGGCCGGGACTGGAGCGGTTCTGGAGCTGTGCTGAAGCGCTGATCTGCCCTGTGGGACGGGGTTTTCCCCACTGCACTGGGTGCTTTGTTTGCTCTCTTCCTCCTTCCCTGTGAAATCCTTTTGTTTTTGAAAGCTTTTCCCCCCAGGATTCCTGGGCAAGACCATGCCAAATAAGTGGTGCGGTAAACGAGTAGCACATTAATTGCCTATTGCCTTTGTCTTTCGCAACGCAGCCAGCTTCTCTGTGTCTGTAATTTTGTGGTTTACAGAACTTGTGTGGTGCCGGGTCTCCGTTCTGCACTGCATCCCTCTGAGAACTGCTGTTTTTCCCCAGGAGTGCTGTTTCCCAATCGGGTGGCTGAGCAGAGCTGCTGCTCTCCTTTCTTCCCTGATTTGCTTTCTCCCCCTCACTCGGGTGCTTTGAAAAAGGGCATTTCCTACTTCAGAGTGGGGGTGGATGTGAGTGGACCCGCTTTGCGCTCCTGGGATTCCCTGCTGCTGGATCGAGGCGGGGGAGGCGTTCAGGCAGACTTGCACAACTCTAATAAACTCCGTGCAACACAAGAGGCAGCAACTCGTGTGTCTTTTCTAGAGGAGAAGGCCCAGTGCATCCCTGGAATGATGGAGGGGTGGCAGAGCAGCGTGCGGGTAATAAATAGCTTTTCTCTCCCACCCTTCCCTTGCCCAGCTGTTCCAGAAGGAGCAAGTGGATCCTCTCCAGCTAAAGCTGCAGCAAGTGAACGGAGTTGGCCAAGGACTCATCCAAAGCGCCGGGAAGAACTGTGATGTCCAAGGGCTGGAACATGACATGGAAGAGATCAACACCCGCTGGAACACCCTCAACAAGAAGGTGAGGGCTGGGGGATGGGCCGGGAGCACGGGGGGCTGCGGGGCCGCCGTCCCACATCCCTGATGGTGCTGCGTGCCTGCAGGTGGCCCAGAGGATCGCCCAGCTGCAGGAGGCCCTGCTGCGCTGCGGGAAGTTCCAGGATGCCCTGGAGCCGTTGCTGAGCTGGCTGGCTGACACCGAGGAGCTCATCTCCAACCAGAAACCTCCGTCGGCTGAGTACAAGGTGGTGAAAGCGCAGATCCAGGAGCAGAAGGTGAGCCGGCACTGGGGGCTGGTCGGGCTGTGTTGAAGGTGATATTTTGGGGTCCTGCTGTTACAGCATAGGTGTAGCGGGGACATGCTCCGCTCTGCTTCTTTCTAACCAACTCTTCTGCTGCTGCCCCACATCCTTGCAGCCCATTTGCCCACACACACTGTCTCTGTGGTCTCAGTCACCGGTGTTACTTCACTGTCGCACCGCTGCTGGTTTTGCCAGTTGGCTGTGTTTCTTCAGCCCCAGATTTGGTTGTGTCTGTGCTGATAATTCTGCTGTGTCAGGAGCAAGCTGGTGTTGTAGTTACTGGTGTGGGGATTTGGACAAAACGAACGCACAAACCGTAAGAGCTGACCCAAGGCACAGCAGTGTTTGTAGAGATATCAGGCTGGGTTGCAGCCTGCCTTTGTGAGCACAGGGATAAAAGTTCAAGTGCGGTCATGGTAAAATATTTTAAAAGTGCATTCCTGTCGAGGCTTGGGCTGACTACTGAGACTTTGACAAGGGAATTTGAACTGAAGGTTCAAAGCTCGATCTCAGTAGATTTGGGGGAAAGATGGGGAAAGCTCTGAGACATTCTGTGGCCCAGAAGTGCTTTGGGTTTCTTTTGAACTGGTTTTGGTGGTGGAGGCGGAGCGGTGGTTTCCTCACTTCGGTGGCTTCGGGCTCAGCCCAGCGCTGATCAGCGGTTCTCAGACGCTACTGGAAATTCGTTCTCAGGGATGCAAGAGGTTCCGCTGATCCAATCCGGTAACTTCTATCCCCCTTCCTCTCTCAGCTGCTCCAGCGACTCCTGGATGATCGCAAAGCCACCGTTGAGATGATCCAAGCAGAGGGCGGGCGCATCGCGCAGTCAGCTGAGCCCGCAGACCGGGAGAAGATCAGCGGGCAGCTGCAGAGCCTGGAGAGCCGCTGGGCAGCGCTGCTGTGCCGGGCGGCAGGCAGGTGAGAGCAGGGGATGCTGCTGCTGCTGCCTGGCACTGTGGGCTCTGGGTGCTGCACACCAGGGATCTGCCTTGTGCTGGAGACGCGCAGATGTGTGGCACTGCTGAATGTGCCCGGCTCTGCCACCGGTCCGCGTTCCTGGCTTCGTTCCGCCTGGGCAGCATTGATAACCCAGAGGAGCAAACAGTTTTGTTTGCTGGTCAGCCCTCACAGGGTCTCTTCTTCTGGTCAGAAGCACAGGACAGGCTTGTCTTGCCATTCACAGTCCCCCAGAGCCTTACAGAGCGTAAGGCTCTATTTGCACAGACTGTGACAGTGGCATTGCTATTATTGCTGTTGGATTTGATGGCTGCGCTGGTTTCTGGCAGGAGCTGAAGCTTCTGCTCCCCTCGCACCCTGAGTGCCGCAGGTGTTGGTTCCCCTCTCGGCCACACCAACACAGGCAACAACACGTGGCGAGCTGGTGCAGATTTCTGTACAGATACATCCTGGAAACCACAGCTGGAAAACATGAGAAACCAAAGCCAGTTGGGAAGCTGAATTAGATAGCAGGGGTTTACAATGGCAGGGAAGAGCTCAGATTAAACAAATTCCCTGCAGGGGATGAATGTTATTTTTATTCCTCTAAGCTTTAACATTTAGCTTTAACAGCTACATCCTGTTGACACCTTTTTGCTGCCTGAGTCTGCGAGCGGCTGGCTGCTGCATCTGCTGATATGCCAGATTACACAGCCAGCGCTGAGGGTCAGAGCTGACCTCCCCAGGTGGGAAATGGGCACAGATGGGGATGGGTTCACCCATCTCAATGGCAGTGTGGGAACACTGAGGGCTCGGCCACGAGCTGGCTGTGTTGGAGGGTCTCAGAGGTTGTGATATTGACAGAAATGGAATAAAATGAGCCTTTCTGCCACCTTCACTGGCGAATGAGCTGAACGTTAAAGAAACAGCTGCAAAAAAACCCCGATTATTCTGCAGTTTCTCTGCACTGTTTTTGTGTTTGTGTAGCAGCTTGCCAGACAAGGCATCTCACCCCACACCACTCAAGATGCTTCTGTTTCCTCTTCTAAAGTATTTCCACTTTGGATCCTGATTCTGTTGAACCCGTTGCCACCTCCTGGTGCAGAGCCCTACTGGGGCTGTTCCCTGCTCCAAGGGGAAGCTGCTCCTCAGTGCTCTGTTGCATCCCAATTACAGGCAGAAGCAGCTGGAGGACATCCTGGTGCTGGCGAAGCAGTTCCACGAGACCACAGAGCCCGTGTCAGACTGGCTGTCGGTGACGGAGAAGAAGTTGGCCAACTCGGAGCCCATCGGCACGCAGACCGCCAAGATCCAGCAGCAGATCAGCCGGCACAAGGTGGGGCTGGGGGCTCTGTGGGTGTCTGTGCGGCGGCGAGGTGGGCGCCGCTGTGAACAAACCCTGGAGGCGGCTGGAGGAGCTCCGCAGGTGCTGCACTGGCGTTGAAGGCTGCAGGCCCAGCCGTGCGGGCAGCGTTCAGTTGAGGCAGCGAGGCTCTGGATGGAAGAGCCGTCCTCGCTTTCCCGCTCCTGTTCAGCCCTGTTTTTCAGTACGCCTTGCCCGCTCACGGCTGGGTTTTTCATCCTTTCAGTTGTGTTTTGCCATTTCTTTTTCGCTTTTGTTTTGTCTTTTCTTTTTTTGTTGAATCTCATCTTTTCCACTCATTTTTGTTTTCTTTTGTCCGTTTTGTCGCCCCGGCTTTCAGGCTCTAGCGGAGGACATAGAGGCCCACGCGGCCGACGTGGCCCACGTGGTGCATGTGGGGCGGGGGCTGTCCGCCCTGAGCTGCGCCGCCGAGCAGCGGCTGCTGGCAGAGAAGTTGGACTCTCTGCAGGGCCGATACGGGGAGGCCCGCGAGCGGTGCTGCCGGAAGGCGGCTCTGCTGGAGCAGGCCCTGTGTAACGCCCGGCTCTTTGGGGAGGAGGAGGTGGAAGTGCTCAACTGGCTGGCTGAGGTCGAGGACAAGCTCAGCTCGGTATCCGTAAAGGATTACAAACGGGACGTCCTGCAGAAGCAGCATGCTGACCAGCTGGTATTTTCCGTTTTTTTCCTTCCATCTTTATGTTATTTATTTTGTTGCATTTATCCATCTTGTTTTGTTTTTTCCATTTGTTTCTGGTCTGACTTTAATTTTGGTCGGCGGTGGAACAAGCTTTGAGTTTTCTAGGCTGGGAGAAGTGTAGAGAGATGATGTGTTAGAAACAGTGATTGAAGCCCCAAAAAGGGGCTTCCCAGAGGGAGCATCAAATGTTTCGGTTGCTTTGTGAGCGATGTCTGAGCAAACTTGGCCACTCTGTGCCTTCAGAAGGCTGGATGCTGCTTCCAAGAGTGTGAATGTGAAAAGCCCAGTGGGTTTTCAGGCTAGGCTGGCCACCAAGGAAGCAGTCTGCTTCCACTTTGTGGGGGCCGTGCAAAGCTCTTTTCAAGAAGTTCTTCAGCTGTGCACACCCGAAGGTTTGTGGTAGTTTTAGCTCTGCTTTGAACCTTTGGTCCCAGAAATCCCAGTAAGTTGCTCAGCAGGAGAACTGGGCTCAGAGCAGTTGCACCCTTCCTATGCTAGGTGAGAGCAGGCTGTGTTCTCCTTAGCATCAGTGGCCGGGGGTGCGGGCGCAGCCTGCAGAGGGATAACTCCCGTTTGGCTTCCTGTCCAGGCTCTGAACGAGGAAATTGTGAACAGGAAGAAGAATGTGGACCAAGCCATCAGAAATGGGCAGGCTCTCCTGAAGCAAACCACAGGTAACACGGGGCTGGAAACACCCAGTCCTTCACAGTCCTCTTGGGTCCTCCCACAGTAGCTGTTGTGCTTCCAGACCCAATGCTGAGCCCCATGCACTCCGGCATAGCAAATCCCCAACACCGCCCTGAGCTCTGGGAGCGGTGATTCCCACCCCTGCACTCAGCACTGAGCAGCCCTGTATCACCAGGGAGGGTTTTCTCATTGCATCCAGCTGCTTAGTCGCATAGAAAGAGGTTAAAAATACACCAAGCCCTTTCCTGACATTGCTTTCCCATACTGAGCAGTTGTTGCTGTTGCCACGTGGGTGTGAGTTTGTGTTTATGAGTGGGAAGAGAGGTCGGGGCAATGCATTTCCTTCAGATGTGGTCTGCTCTGAGCAGATGTGCAGCTCTCTGTCCTTGTGGGAGCCCTGGAGCAGGAAGAGGAGTTACAAAGAATTTGGCTTGCAATTTCATGTCCCTTTGGAAATAGAAGTAGAGAGTGAATTGGACCTTTTTTCTTGGAACTGTGACATGTTAGCTGAGGACTGAGACCTGGTAGCTTTTGGGCTTGTGGCAAAGCAAGGAAGGCTTCACAGCACGTTTCCTTCCTATTCTAGGAAAGGGGTGGCTGTTACTCTGGCTGGCAGAAAATGTCAGCTCTGAGAGCAGCTTCCTGGCTGTGAAAATAGGCTGTTAAGTTGCACAGGAGAGCTGAGAAGTGAGGCTGAAAGCAGCTATTTAAAAGGAGGGGATGGGGCAGCTGGCTGCTGTAGGCTCTCCGTCCATTATCACTTGTCCCCTGTTGCTGTCCCTCAGGGGAGGAGGTGTTGCTCATCCAGGAGAAGCTGGATGGGATCAAGACCCGCTACTCGGACATCACCGCCTCCAGCTCCAAGGCGCTGCGCACACTGGAGCAGGCTCGCCAGCTGGCCACCAAGTTCCAGTCCACACATGAGGAACTCAATGCCTGGATGAGCAAAGTGGAGGATGAGCTGGCGTCCAGCGGGGGACAGTCCCCAGCCAGCGAGCAGATACCCCAGTTCCAGCAGAGGCAGAAGGTGGGGTGCAGCAACGCAGCATGCGGGGATGTGAGAGCCACGCGGGAGGAGAGTCAGTAGGGTCTGCGACTGCCTGGGGGAGGAATGTGGGACACGTGGCCTGGCAGCGTGTGATGTGGGAATGGAACAGGGGGACACTGCTGGCACATCGGGTGGAACCGTAGCATCACAGAGCGGTTGGGTTGGGTTGGACCCGACAGCCCCCTGCCGTGGGCCGGTTGCCCCCCACCGGCTCAGACTGCCCAGCTCCCCAGCCACGGCCTCGGGCAACTCCAGGGATGGCGAGGATCCCGGTCCCCGAACCTCGGGGGGTGTTGGGGTGTGCCTGGTATCTGGCACTGCCGCCCTGAAGGGCCGTGTTTGTGTGTGCCTCCCAGGAGCTGAAGAAGGAGGTGATGGAGCAGCGGCTCGTCCTGGACACGGTGAACGAGGTGAGCCGGGCGCTGCTGGAGCTCGTGCCGTGGCGAGCCCGCGAGGGGCTGGACAAGCTGGTCTCCGACACCAACGAGCGCTACAAGCTGGTCAGTGACACCGTCAGGCAGCGGGTGGAGGAGATCGATGCTGCCATTCAAAGGTCCCAGCAGGTGAGCTGGGGAGCGTTTCTGGGCCTTGTCAGCTCCTCCCATGCCCGTGATGGAAAGGGGCAGCGCACCTCTGCTCAGAGGGGTGGCTTTGCTGTGTCCCACTCCTGCCTGACTGCACCTCTCCTCTCCCACACCAGTACGAGCAGGCGGCCGACGCTGAGCTGGCCTGGGTGGCTGAGACCAAGCGGAAGCTGATGGCGCTCGGAGCCATCCGGCTGGAGCAGGACCAGACCACAGCCCAGCTGCAGGTGCAGAAGGTACGGAGTGGTGAGCTGGGGGGGTGGCTCAGGGTGGCTCAGGTGATTTGTCCCTGGAGAGGCTCCGTGCACCAAGAAAAACGCAGCGTTTGTCCTTCGTGAGTAACAGGAAAAAGGAAGGATGAGGATTTAGACAAATGAAGCGTTGGGTTTCTGAAGGAGAAATCCGTGAGGTGCTCCAGGTGCCAGATGAGTGCTCGCTCACGCACTGAAGCTGGGGACCTGCAGACGCCTGGCCGTGCTGTGCCCCCCGTGGCCAGCAAGCTGTACCTGCCCCCCGCTCACAGAGACGCACCCACTGGTTAACGAGGCTCCTTTCACTGGCTCTGTGCTCATTGTTCCTTCCAGTGGGGGTCTCCTCGTTTCCCTCACAGCAGCCAGACGTGGAACAAAGAGAAGCTTTTTTTTAATATCTTTGAGATGAGCTCATGCCTGAAAGAACATGCACTTTAACTAAATGGCCCTTTTCTTCCATCGCCAGCCCCGGCAATCAGAGCAGCATTCGTGTTTATTGGATTCAGTGTGTTTAAAATAAAAAAAAACAAAACACAGTGCATTGTTATAATGGAGGGGGCTGCAGCATTGAGCGTTAAGCTCTGCTGAGCTCAGCCTGGCTTCCTGCTGCTTATGGGTGTGTGAACCTGGGGAATGGTGGAGTTGTTGGTGGATGCACTTCTGGGGAGCATCGTTTTGGGTGGCTGTGTATCAGCTGCACTGAGGGCACATGGGTGGCAGAGCCTTTCCTCTGCAGTGTGCAGTGGTGCCCACACAGCCCCGCGTTGCCTGGGCTGCTGCCTGGTGTTTCTGTCTGTGTGAAATGGCTGCAGGCTTCCAGTGCGTGGGGCAGTGACCCAGGTGTGGGAGCTGCTTGGTGTCTGACCTGTGCCTAATTCTGAGTGCCATTTTCAGGCCTTTTTGAAAGAGAGAACTTAGAGTAGATGAGTAATAAGGAAGAAATGCAGGAATTTGCATTTTCAGCCAGAATTTCAGTGTGCCACAGGATGCTGGTGCTGAGCTTGGTGCAGCCTGCAGCGCTAGCTGTTGGCAGCCTGGCAGGGGGTGCCTGGGGGAGATGGGGCCCTGTTCTCATCTCTTCCCTTCCTTCAGAGGTTTCCTTTCCACAGGCTTTTTCCATCGACATTATTCGGCACAAAGACTCCATGGATGAGCTGTTCAGCCAACGCAGTGAGATCTTTGGGACGTGTGGGGAAGAGCAGAAAGCTGTTCTGCAGGTGAGCCTGCCCGGGGTTCAGAGCTGCGGGAGATGGGGCAGAGCAGGCAGAGGCGAGCGCTCCGCTCTCGCACAGTCTGAAGTTGTTTAAAATTACTCCATTTTCAGAAATTCCCACCAGTGACACTTAGTAGAGATCTCTTTATATTTATTACCCTCTTTTATTGCAGTGTTTTTATTGCAGTGTCTGGGGAGAGGGGATAGTGGGAATTCCTTACGCCGCTTTAATTGGGATTACAGCTCTGTGCACATGGAATGCAGCCACCGTGCGCCTCCACTCGTCCAGGCACTGCGGGCTGGCAGCTCCCACCCCTTCCACAGCCGTCACCGCCTCTCCTTCCCCTTCCTTTTAGGACAAAACAGAGTCCCTGGTGCAGCAGTACGAGGCGGTGAGCCAGCTCAACTCGGAGCGCTACGCTCGCCTGGAGCGCGCGCAGGTCCTGGTCAACCAGTTCTGGGAGACATACGAGGAGCTGAGCCCCTGGATCGAGGAGACGCAGGCCCTGATCTCCCAGCTGCCCCCTCCGGCCATCGACCACGAGCAGCTCAAGCAGCAGCAGGAGGACATGAGGGTAAGGCGATGGCGGAGCTGCGGCCGCAGCTGGTCGGCTTCTTTCCTTTTTGGGGATCCTACAAGGGTGCCCCAGAGTGACATGGATGTCACTCAATGAATTGGAAGGCTTCTCGCAGTACAGATGAAACCAGGGGAGCCTGGCTTTCTCTGAATCTCTTGCCTGGTGGTGGCAAGGAGAACAGCATGCTTTTGGGGAGATGAAAAGTTTCTCATCCCCTTTGGGGCACGGGGGGAGTCTGTGGCCCAAGCAGGTGCTGTCCTGGCGTGTGTGATGGCCGTGCTGTGTGCTCATAGATGCTGGGCCAGGACGTCAGTGGTGCACACGTACTGCCAGATGCAATCCTTCCTCTCTGAGTACCATGTGAAATAAATACACGGCAGCTTTCTGTACGTTTCCAAACAATTGTCTTCCCTCCCCCCTCGCTCCTTATTCCCTAGCAACTGAGAGAGTCTATTGCTGAACATAAACCTCATATCGACAAGCTGTTGAAAATCGGACCACAGCTCAAGGATCTCAACCCTGAGGAAGGGGAGATGGTGCAGAAGAAGTACTTGGCAGCAGAGGCCATGTATGCCAGAATCAAGGAGGAGGTGTGTCAGCGGGCTCTGGCACTCGATGAAGCCGTCTCGCAGTCCACCCAGGTACACTTCTGGGGCGCCGGGCAGCCACGTCCTGCTGCAGATCCTGAAGCCTCTGTAGTTGCAGGAGAGGCAGACGCCTTCAGGGTGGTTTCAGCCAACTGCTGGGCAGTTCTGCTCCGCAGTGCCTGCAGGTGGAAGGGAGAAGGAGTTTGAATCTTGACGTGGTAGATAGTCGTAAATGTTTACAGCCTCAGTAACGATACTCATTCAGTAGGGCTGTTCTGGCGTCTGCCGAAGGCTGGGAGGGCCCAGGGAGCCTCTTTAAACAGCTTGGAGAGATAAGTTTCATTTCTGATAAGTGAAGCACTGCTGTGTGTGAGCAGCACGGGGTCGTTTGTAGGGGATATTTATGCGTCCCAGGGCCTGGGCACCCCTCGGGGACACTGCGGGTCGGTGGCTGCAGAGCAGAGATAGGAGAGGAAGGGCAGAGATTGGAGGTGCTGAAGTCCAGGGAAAGGTAAAGAGTGTCTGGCAGCCAGGTGCGGGGCCAAAGGTTCCCAGGTAGCTGCGTTTCACCCCGCAGCCCTGCAGGGCCCTCGGTTTTTGTCACGTCTGGGTTTTTGTTTTTTTAATTCCTGTATTGTTTAGTCACTTCTCTTGGTTCGCATTGTATTAACTCCGAGTTTTTCCCCCCCCGCACACTTCCCTCCCGTCTCATCTCACTCACATTGTGGAATGTGTTATCTGTGTGTGTTGCTGCCTGTTCCTGTCTTCCCCACATGGTCTCATTTCATTGTTGTGTTGACTGCGCCCCACCATTGCAGATTACGGAGGTAAGCGCCGTTGTGGTCGATGTTCATTTACACTCCTTCCTTGGGCTGAAACAATTCTGTTTTACACTCAGACTTTCATTTCTGGTTCATGCATAGCTCAGCTGACCTTGCTTGAGAATTAATTCCAAAAAGGGAAAAAAAATCCTGTTTCTGAGATGGCTTCGGTTGCACTGCCGCCTGGTTTCAGCCGCGGGCAGCTTCTGCTGGGAATGCTTTGTGCAAGCCAGAGGTTTTGCTTTTGGAGCAGGTGACAGCGATGCGCAGAGCTTCCTGCTCCAGCTGAGCTTCCCTTTGCTTCTGCTTGTTGGCTAAGGCAGTGTGCTGTGATCAACTTTGCACCGAGAGCCCATCTCGTCTCTGCGGGTGGCACCTTTGGCCAAGGCAGTGCAGGTGTTCTGCAGAGGCAGCGCTGGGGCTGGCAATGGGGCACAGCAGAGCTGCCTGCCGTCTGTCCTGCAGAGGTGATTTTGGGTCCTTAAGGCCAAAGTTGACTTTTCTTTAAAAATATGAAACCGGAAAACCCTGCAGACCCTCCTTGGCTTCCTGATGTTGCTTTTGGTGAAGCCCCCGTTCCACGGTGCTCCTTGCTGTGTGCATGCAGCTCTCCACCACCTCCCTGACCGTTCCAGGGTGGTTTTCTTGTGAGCGTTGCACCAAGCAGAGATTTCCTCCAGCACCAAGCACAGCAGGCACTTCTCCATCGGTGTCCCTGCGCAAATGCTGAAACAAATGGGATTTGTTTTGGGTGTCACTCTGCCCATCTGCCAAGAGTGGGACAGCAGTCCAAGTGTGAGCGGCTTGGGGTTGAAGACCTTTGCCAGCTCTGGCAGCTTGTTTGGCTGAGGTGTGATTTGACTTTGGGCTCCTTGCAACAAACGGAGCCATGCAGGCACCAACAGGAGGCTGCAGGCATCACCGGTGCTGGCAAGGCTTGTCCTCTGCGGGAGCCGCTGGGTGCAGCGCTGGGGCTGTGGTGCAGGGGGGGATGCGGTGCTGCTCCTCTCGTCTCACTGCCCCGATGGATTTGCTCTCCAGTTCCACGACAAGATCGAGCCGATGCTGGAGACGCTGGACGCCCTGTCCTCCCGCCTGCGTGTGCCGCCCCTCATCCCTGCCGAGGTCGATAAGATCCGGGAGTGCATCAGCGAGAACAAAAACGCCACGGTGGAGCTGGAGAAGCTGCAGCCTTCCTTTGAGGCTCTGAAGCGGCGCGGGGAGGAGCTGGTCGGCAGGTCGCAGGGCGCAGATAAGGACCTGGCAGCAAAAGGTATTGGGGTGGGCGCAGGGAGAGGGCTTTGCTGGGCAGTGGCAGCTGCCCGGCTCCACTGTGCCCTGCCTGGAGCTGATGGAGGGACATCAGCCAGAGGGGAAAGAGGCACTTGTGGCTAACAGGGCCTTGCTGTGAGCTGTTCTGTTGTGGCAACCTTTCGTGACCCTTTTGAAATGATTTGTTGGTGTCGATTCACCTCCTGATGGAAGGAAGGAGCATCCCCAGCACAAAAAGACCTCTTAACACCACTGGCACTCATTGACACCTTTGCTGGCAGCTCAGCGGGCAGCTCATGAGCTGAGTGTGCAGATTTCATGCTAGAGCTGGCTTGAACAGAACTTCACTGGAGGAGAGCGTATGGGCAAATTTGTCTAGAGCTTGCCTGTACGTAAGAAGAGGTTTACTTCTGCAAGCTAGGGTTCCTCCTGTCCCTCCGTGTCTCCCATAGTTAATGTTAAAGTCCCATCCATGTTTAATTCCTGCTTCAATATTCTGTTGGCTATTTCTAAGTGGAAAGTGTTAGCAGCTTGCTTTTTGGTTTGGAAAAGGAGAACTTCTGTGGCAAGGCAGACTTCTTCTCCACTGAATGTTTTTTTTCCTACTCTCAGTAATCCAGGATAAGTTGGATCAGATGGTCTTCTTCTGGGAAGACATCAAAGCTCGGGCAGAGGAACGTGAGATGAAGTTCCTTGATGTCCTGGAGCTTGCAGAGAAGTTCTGGTATGACATGGCAGCCCTCCTGACTACCATCAAAGACACGCAGGACATCGTTCATGACCTGGAGAGCCCAGGGATTGACCCATCCATCATCAAGCAGCAGGTGGAAGCAGCAGAGGTGAGGAGTGTGGCACTGTACCCCTCTGGAGCTTGTCTGCACCCATTCTGTGAGCTCGATTAGGGTGGATCTGAAATGAAGTGGCTGTAAAACACTGTCGTAGGCAGCCAGATCATGGAGTGTTGTTGCCATTGTAATTTGGAACTTCGGGATCAAAACAGGTCTTATTTTGCATTTCCCGCTCCACCTCCAGACAAGGAAATGATCCTTAAATCATTTCTTTGCTGCTGTTCTGGGAGGCTCATCAAGCATGTGGTCAGAGTTGTGCCCACTTGTTTGAGGGATGTGCAGGTTTGCACAGTTCTGCTCCCAGCCTGCACAGAAGGCATTTGAGTGCTGCCTGGCATAGGAAGGATGAATTGAGATTTTGGTTAGGCTGGAGATAGGTGTAAAGCTGGATGGGCTCGGATTTCTTTGCGGTTGTTTCAGGTAAATGGAGAAATCCACTTCAGGTGTTTGCTTGTTGGACCTCCTGGGTCTGGCATGTTACTTCGTGTGTCACTCTTTGCTAAGTCTGTCCTTTCTATTTCTGTTCTGTAACCATTCTGACTTTGGTTTGCATCTTTTGAGTCTCCAAAATGAATGCCTGTATTGAAAAAACGCTCCTGTAAACATCCTCAGTGGGGCTGTTCAGACACATATCAAGCTAAATACAGAACTCCTGGGTTTAGCTCCTTCAAACCGTGCAAACAGCATCGCCTCCGTGCCCAGAGGTGGGAGCAGGGCGGGCTGTGGCAGTGCTGCTGAGCAGGGCACCCGTCTGCTTGCCTTGTGTCACGGTGCCGGGTCTGGCTTTGGGCTGTTGGCCAGGATGCAGGATGAGTCCAGCACAGAAAGGACTCTGCCTCCCATCCACCGGCAATTTTTGGAAAAGCGTTTAATAATAATAAACATTTTCCTTCCATCGTGATGTTGTGTGCAGACTATTAAGGAGGAAACGGATGGCTTGCACGAAGAGCTGGAGTTCATCCGACTCCTTGGAACTGATTTAATTTTTGCCTGTGGTGAAACGGAGAAACCAGAAGTGAAAAAGAGCATTGACGAGGTAGGAAAAGCAGCAGCCTTTTGTTCTCATAAAGTGAGGGAGGAGCGATCAGAGCTCGCATGGAAGAGCCTAACCAACTTTGTGGGCAATCTTCTGCAGATGAACAATGCATGGGAAAACCTAAACAAAACTTGGAAGGAGAGGCTTGAGAAGCTTGAAGAGGCCATGCAGGCGGCTGTGCAATACCAGGATACTCTTCAAGTAAGAGACAGGGCTGTTCGTGGGCAGTGGGCAGACCTTGGGAGCAGCACTGTGAATCCTCTCCTTGAAGCTGTACTGGGACATGTGTTAATGCAGGGCAGGAAAGTGTCTCCTGTGTGAATGTTTGCAGCCTCTGTTAGACCCTGAGCTCACAACCCCTCCAAGCAGGGGCAGATGTTTGACTGCATCTGTCTTCCTCAGTCTGTCTTTGCTTCTGCACAGCATAGCAGGATGGGAGGTGGAAGGCAGGAGGGTGTGCTGGAGCAGCATCTCTGCCCCAGAGGAAGAGTTGGATGCTTGCACTGTCTGACAGAGGGACCCTCCCCCTTTTCTAATGCTCTCTGCCCTCATTTCAGGCCATGTTTGACTGGCTGGATAACGCTGTGATTAAGCTGTGCAACATGTCTCCTGTGGGCACCGACCTCAACACGGTTAAGGAGCAGATGAATGAGATGAAGGTACGTGGGTGGAGCCACGCTGGTTCTCCAATGCTTAGCATCGCAGAGCTCTCACTCCAGTGATTCATTTTGTTCTGGTTTTTGTCCTGCTTGTTTTGGCAGGAGTTTAAAATGGAAGTTTACCAGCAGCAGATTGAGATGGAAAAGCTTAATCACCAAGGTGAACTGATGCTAAAAAAAGCTACAGATGAGACAGACAGAGACATCATAAAGGAGCCACTGACAGAGCTGAAACATCTCTGGGAGAACTTGGGTGAGAAGATTGCTCACAGACAGGTACGGGGCGGCCTGGGTTCGTGCCAGTGCGGGGTTGAAGTTCACTTGGATGCTCCCACTCCTTCCTGACTTAAACGTTCCTTCTCCTCCTGCCATCACTCAGCACAAGCTCGAAGCCGCCCTCCTGGCCCTTGGTCAGTTCCAGCACGCGCTGGCAGAGCTGATGGCCTGGCTGACCCACACCGAGGAGCTGCTCGATGCGCAGAAGCCCGTCAACGGAGACCCAAAAGTCATCGAGGTTGAACTTGCAAAGCACCACGTGAGTGCTCCCACTGCGTGCCATTTGTTTGATCCGCTTCTGTACTGGGGTTTTCTCCCTTATGAAGGGTTTGAGTTGGTTCAAGTCCATGAAAGCATGCTGGAATTAAGCAGACGTTTTGGAGAGGCGTCCAACACTTTACCAACATGTCTGTTAGGTGCTGAAGAATGATGTCCTGGCCCACCAAGCAACTGTGGAGACAGTGAACAGAGCAGGCAACGAGCTCCTGGAATCGAGCGCAGGGGACGACGCCAGCAGCCTTCGGAACCGCCTGGAGGGGCTGAACGCGTGCTGGGAGGCAGTGCTGCAGAAGACAGAGGAGAGGGAGCAGCAGCTGCAGTCCACTCTGCAGCAGGTGGGGGCACGGCAGAGGGAGGGGGCTGGGCTGGGGACGCTGGGCTCTGTAATGCAGTCTGCGGTGTTTGTTACCCTAAAGTGAAAATTCAGTTGTTTCTTGCACAAAGATGAGGCTTGGTGTGGAAGCACAGAGCTTTTGCAGATGGACTTTTTGCCCTCTCAGGCTCACTTCAAAGCGGGGCATTTTTTCGTTTGTGGTACCAATTGTGTCTTGTTTATTTGCCAGAGCGACTGCGTGGTCATGGGGCACTGTGTGCATCCCTTCCTGCCATGCTGTTAAATCCAGCTCTGCCTCTTTATCTGGTTCTGAAGCAAACGCAGTGCCAGCCCTGGCGCGTGATCAATGGGGGCTGATGTCATCTGATCGTGGCCGATTGTATTTCCTGAACAGGCCCAGGGTTTCCATGGTGAGATTGAAGACTTCCTCCTGTGGCTAACGAGAATGGAGAGCCAATTGTCTGCATCGAAACCCACAGGAGGGCTGCCAGAAACTGCCCGGGAGCAGCTCAATGCCCACATGGTAATTTCCTGGGGGGAGATTTTGAATACTTCTAATTCAGCAAGCTCCTACCTGTCAGATGAGCATCAAAATTCTCATTTGTGAGTTTGACGGGAAGGGAGATGAGTGCTTCTCTGGTGTTCTTACAGATAGATTTGCCCTTGCTGGGGACAAGCATCACAATGCATTAACCACCATCCCGTGCCCAAAGAGATGCATTGCTGCCACTTTGCTGCCTGCCCCGACCCTCGTTTCCTTATCACCTTGAGCTGCTGCACTCCCTTTACCTGATGCTCTGGCTGTGTTGCAGGAGCTGTACGGGCAGCTGAAAGCACAGGAGGACGTGTACAGCCAGCTGCTGGCCAAGGGGCGGCTGATGCTGCTGAACCGCGACGACTCGAGCGCAGGCTCCAAGACGGAGCAGAGCGTCGCGCTGCTGGAGCAGAAGTGGTGTCTGGTCAGCACCAAGATGGAGGAGAGAAAGGTACCGTTGGCAGAGGGACACCGTGCCCCGTGAGCAGGACCTGCTCCCTGCTGCTCTGCTCCCCCGGGACGGGGCTGGGGAGGAGGGTTGTTATCTTAAATTGCCTCTCTTGGGTGCCCAGATTGAATTTGTCATCCAAATGGTGCAGTCTGAGAGGCGAGCCGTTCGTTTTTCGGGATAGTACTGAAATGTGGTTAAATCACACAGAAAATGAGAGTGAAATTGCATGTGGGTTATTTAGAGGAGGGGTGGGAAGAAGCCTCCTGCAGTTCTGAAAGGCACTCTGTGTCAGTCCTCAGAGCTGCCTCCATTCTGGCGTTTTGGCCGGTGATGAGATAAAACAAGGGATGCGGTGGCCTCAGCCCAGAATACATTTGTGCTGCTGCAGCTGTTGCCATCGAAATGTCACCCACCTCCCATTTACTGAGAGCTCTTCCCATGGCGATCCCTTTCTCGGGAAGCTGAGGGTGATGCAGCTGCTCATGTGTCGATAATGGAGTTGTCTCCCCTTTCACGTGTGATTCTCACCCGTGAATTTTGAAAGAAGCTGATTCTGAAGCGGCAGCTTGCATTGAAAGCTCCTCGCCTTGGTAAACAAGTCGTGTCCCCAGCCGGGCTGACAAGGTTCCCATTGGAGGCGCATTGCAGCGGGGACACAAAGCCTGCCCTTGTCTGTGAAACCACAGATCGTGAGCTCTCGCCCTCAGTGTTGTTTTTTTATCCCCCTTCCCTCCCCTCTGTGCAGGCAAAGCTGGAGGAGGCTCTCGCCCTGGCCACGGACTTCCAGAACTCCCTCCAGGACTTCATCAACTGGCTGACGCTGGCCGAGCAGAGCCTGAACATCGTGCCTCCTCCCAGCCTCATCCTCAATGCCGTGCTGGCCCAGATTGATGAACACAAGGTGCGGTCACCGTGGGCCCCCAGTGGGTGCTGGGATGCAGGGAGCGAGCACGGCACCTGGACCCCTGCCACGCGCAGCAGGTGCTACTGGCCTGCCCAGATCCCCTTACAGATGGGAGGATGGCTTTGCTGTTTGCAGGTGTTCGCCAATGAAGTGAACGCTCATCGGGATCGCATCATCGAGCTGGACCAAACGGGGAACCAGCTGAAGTTCCTCAGTCAAAAGCAGGACGTGGTGCTGATCAAGAACCTGCTGGTGAGCGTCCAGTCCCGCTGGGAGAAGGTGGTGCAGCGCTCTGTGGAGCGGGGCCGGGCTCTGGATGACGCCAGGAAGCGAGCCAAGCAGGTGAGAAATGGGCAGTGTGACAGAGCTGGGGTGCAGCCAGCCATGGGGGTCCTGAGACCAGAACGGGGCTGGGGACAGCTTCAGTGCTAAGTTTCAAACTTGATTTTGTTTGCTTGCAGTTCCACGAAGCTTGGAAGAAACTGATTGATTGGCTGGAGGATGCAGAGAATCACCTGGACTCCGAGTTGGAGATTTCCAACGATCCTGACAAAATCAAGCTCCAGCTCTCCAAACACAAGGTGGAGCTTTGCTGAAGCAAGACTGGTGCTGAGCATTGGGTGGAAGGCAATTCATAGAATCTTAGCATTGGAAGAGATCTCTCAGATCACCAAGTCCAACCCCAGCCCACCCCCACCATGCCCACTGACCATCTCCCCCAGTGCCACATCTCTAGGGATGGTGACTACACCCCCTCCCTGGTCACCACATCACTGCTCTTTCAGAGGGGAAATTTTTCCTAATATCCAACCTGAGACTTCCACGTCACAACTTGAGGACAAAAGAGAGGCAGCAGGGCAGTACTTCCTCTGCTGTTAGAACTGGGGAGAGGCACATCCATGTTATTACTGCAGTGGCAAACGTGCAGCTGGGGATCCACGTGACAGCTGTGTATCATCTCTGTGAGATCGGGTTTTCTGAAGCCATTTTGTTTTCTCTCTCTGTCCTCAGGAGTTCCAGAAGACACTGGGTGGGAAGCAGCCTGTCTACGACACCACTATCAGGACGGGCAGAGCCCTCAAGGAGAAAGCTTTGCTTCCAGACGACACTCAAAAGCTGGACAACTTATTGGGAGAAGTCCGGGATAAATGGGACACAGTGTGTGGCAAATCTGTGGAAAGGTAAATCCAGCCCCAGTGTTGTACCAGCAGTGCTGCGTTGTCAAGGACTGCTGTCAAAGCTGTGAGCAGAGGAGGGGAGGTTGAACCCTACAGCACGTTGTGATTTCGTATGGTTCTTGGAGGCTGGAGGAGTTTGCTGGGCCATGGTGAAAGAAGACGAGTTTGTTCTTGGGATTCACGGGGTCCATCTGTTTTCCAGGCAGCACAAGCTGGAAGAAGCCCTCCTGTTCTCTGGGCAGTTCATGGATGCGCTGCAGGCCTTGGTGGACTGGCTGTACAAGGTGGAGCCTCAGCTGGCTGAAGATCAGCCCGTCCACGGCGACCTGGACCTGGTCATGAACCTGATGGACGCTCACAAGGTGGGGATCTGCCCACCCTGCTGGGGGTGGGAGCTCTGCTCGTCCTCCCCAAGGGCCCAGGGTCTCGTCCCCCATCACTCAGCACCCTGGCACTGAGCCGTTTGGCTTTTGCCTGCTCGGCCTCCAGGTCTTCCAGAAGGAGCTGGGGAAGCGCACTGGGACAGTGCAGGTGCTGAAGCGCTCCGGCCGGGAGCTGATAGAGAACAGCCGGGATGACACCACGTGGGTGAAAGTACAGCTGCAGGAGCTGAGCAACCGCTGGGACACCGTGTGCAAGCTGTCGGTGTCCAAGCAGAGCCGCCTGGAGCAGGCCTTGAAGCAGGTGAGCAAAAGGCTGCAGCTGGAAACAGGCTTGGAGAGCTTTACCTGCACTGCGGGGCTGTGCCCCGGAGATGGACACAAGCCCTTCCCTTGGATAAGGCTGTTTGCACCCTGCGCCCAGACACAGGGCTTCTGGCTGAGCAGGACAGCACAGCCCTGCAGCTGTTGCTAGTGAGAACTGCAGAGCAGCATTGGTTATTTGCTTACCTTTTTTGCCCTAAGAAAAGACATTAAGAAGGGCCTGTTTGAAAAGGAAGGATGAAAAGATTTCGCTGGTGTGCACTGCAGGCAAGTGGGAATGGGCGAGTGATCAGAGGCTGCTCCAGCTTGTGTTTGCTAAAGTCCAGGGCGAAAAAAGAGACCTCAATTTTTGCTTTAAAAAAAAAAAAAGGTCAAAAGGCTTTAGGTAGATTTTTTGTCAAGCAGGCAATTTACTGAATAAACTACCCAGGTGCCAAATTGGCCAGCACTCAGGTAGCCATGCTGTTAGTGAAAAACAACAAGTTCTGCAGCACTGCTGCTGCCAAGCACAGGGCCAGGAGAAGCAGGAGCTGCTGGTTCAGGCCAGAGCTCCCGGAGCTGCAGGGCCCTTCTGCTGGTGCTGGTAAGCCCAGGCCACAGAGATAGATCCTTCTTCTCCCTTTCTTCTTTAAAGTCCCCCCCACTCCCAGCCACATCCCAAGGAGGGGGCTGACCCTCTGCTTCTGTCCTCAGGCGGAGGAGTTCCGGACGGCCGTGCACATGCTGCTGGAGTGGCTCTCGGAGGCTGAGCAGTCCCTGCGCTTTCGGGGAGCGCTTCCTGATGATGCTGAAGCACTGCAGTCCCTCATTGATGTGCACAAGGTGATGGGGAACTCCAGAGGCGCGGGTGCCAAGACTGCGGGGCAGCACTTGGCCTTCTCTTTTTAGAGCAACCCAAGCAAAATCTGTGGGCAAAAATGCTGCAAGATAATCTATGTGGGCATTAAGTTCCTGCATTTCGAGGGGCAAGGGGAAGTTAAATTGCTCTTATGCAGCAGTCATAGCTGGGTGTAGGGTAGGAGCTGGACGTGGGTGCCCCTGCCATGTGCTGCCCCTTCACACCCGGCCCATGCATTCCCTGCTTCCAGGAATTCATGAAGAAAGTAGAGGAGAAAAGGGTGGATGTGAATGCGGCAGTGGGAATGGGAGAGGTCATTCTGTCTGCCTGCCATCCTGACTGCATCACCACCATCAAGCACTGGATCACCATCATCCGCGCCAGGTTTGAGGAGGTGAGTCCCTTGAGGCTGCACTCGTGTCCTCTCCTGAGCTCCTGCCCAGCCCCAGAGCGTGCCCACAGTGTTGATTTTCCTCTCCATTTGTTCCCATCCGGGGCTGACGCATCTCTGCATCTCCAACAGGTCCTCACGTGGGCCAAGCAGCACCAGCAGAGGTTGGAGGCTGCACTCTCAGAGCTGGTGGCGAATGCAGAGCTTCTGGAGGAGCTCCTGGCCTGGATCCAGTGGGCTGAGACCACCCTGATCCAGAGGGATCAGGAGCCGACACCGCAGAACATCGATCAGGTCAAAGCCCTCATCGCTGAGCACCAGGTGAGCCCAGTGCTGGAGCAAAAGAGCTTTCCTGCACCGTGGGCAAACACTTGCGAGGGCAAGAGGGGTTTCATTCACAGTGTGCCATGGGGGAGCCGTTGGCTTCTCCTTACGGCCCAATTAAAGTAGCACCTCACCCATCTCAGGCTGTCACTTGGGCTGAGCTTTTGCAGAGCTGTGCCATAGCTGGCCTGCAAACCCCCACTGCTCCGGGCACCCATGTCCCCCATGGCCAGGCACATCCCAGTGAGAGCCCAAAGCCTCTGTAGCTGGAGGTGAAAACATCTCAAAACTGCAAAGCTTCTTTCTCCCTTGTGTGTTCTGACAGTCCTTCATGGAGGAGATGACAAGGAAACAGCCAGACGTGGACCGGGTCACCAAGACCTACAAGAGGAAAGCGACCGAACCGCCCCACGGAGCCCTCATTGACAAGTCCCGCAGCAACAGTACGTGCTGTGGTGGGAGGAAGTGAGATACATAGGAACTCGTTAGCTCTCATTATCAGTTAACAAGGCATCCTGCACTGACTGCCGTCAGGAAGGCAGCTGGAGCTTTCACAGGGAGAAGTCCAGGTGGTCACCTCCGAAATGCCGCTGCCAGGGCTGCAGAGCCCACGCAGAGCATTTATCTCTTTTTTATTTAGCAGTGCTGGGAAGCCCCTGCTGTCAGTTCTCGGTTTCTTTCTGCATCAATTCTGTGATTTGTTGTTGCTTTTCACACCAGTTCTTGAAGCCAGGGTCCACCCTGAATCCCCTGGCAGGGGTTGGGCTGCACAGCTGTGGGGCCGTGGCTGCAGCTCACGGTTCTGCTCGGCAGCAGCCGGCAGGGCTGTGCATGGCTGCTCAAAATGCACCGCGCGTTTCCTTGCTGCTCCGTCCTCAGTGCTCAGATTCAGCCCATCAGCAGCACCCCCGGCGCTGCATTTACTCTCGCTACTTTTTCCTTCCCCCAGGAAAATCCTTGACCCAGGCCGCCCCTCCCGCCATGCCCATCATCTCCCAGTCGGAAACCAAGAACCCCCGCATCAACCAGCTCTCAGCCCGCTGGCAGCAGGTCTGGCTGCTGGCCCTGGAGCGCCAGCGGAAGCTCAATGATGCCCTGGACCGACTGGAGGAGGTAACGGGTGCTGCATGGGGCAGTCGGTGCCACCTCCTGAGCTGCCCGGGTCCTGCGGGCTGTCCCTGCTGCTTTCCCCACAATGCCAAAAGGAAAAAGCTCTTCTGAAGCGTTATGGCTTAAAACTGCCTTCTTTAATTAACTGCTCGCTAATGAACTGCTTTGCGCCCCTGCAGTTGGTATCTGTAGAGGTAATGACAGCCAGCCCTGCTTTATTCCTAGTAATCAGCTTAACTAATTAGTGCTACTGTATATATCTTTTCCAATCGTCTAATATAATTTTTGTTTTCATTTACGCTTAACAAAGCAGCTATGCCCAGAAGTGAGTGTTTTTGTTTTTTGTTGCTTTTTCTGTAGGTCAGTTCAGTTTCTGCGTATCGATGTTTTATTTTCTCTTTGTTGCTTTTAACTCGAGGAATGCTTTAAAAAAAAATAGAAGAAAAAGGTGCTCAAAATCATTGTGCCACCTTGCTGTGAGCTCCTGCAGCCGGAGGGGCCCTTGGGGGGGGTTAGGAGGAGGGCGAGAGGTTTGTTGCGCTGCAGGGCGGAGGGCTGCACCCAGCCAGAGCGCGGCACGGTGCTCCCAGGGGCAGGGAGAGGGCAGGGGCTGAAGGCGGAGGTGGCGGTGGGCAGCCAGCAGTGTGTGTGCGTCTGTGTGCACGTAGTCGGCGCTGCGCCCCGTGTCCATGGTGACGTGTGGCTGTCCCTGCGCTGTGTGTCCTGCTGTGCTGGGAGGGCCTGCGCGGCCCCCCTGGGGCGGATGTGGGGGGGGTGCGGGGGTCTCCTGTGGATCCTTCAGGGTTTCCTTGCTGACTGTCGATTTCCTTCCAGCTGAAGGAGTTTGCAAACTTCGACTTCGATGTCTGGCGGAAGAAATACATGCGCTGGATGAACCACAAGAAGTCCCGTGTGATGGATTTCTTCCGGCGCATCGACAAGGACCAGGACGGGAAGATCACCAGGCAGGAGTTCATCGATGGCATCCTGGCCTCCAGTGAGTCTGTGCCCAAAACCAGCTGAGGGAGTGGCTGCCCGGCTGTGAGGGCAGGCTGCGCACAGCCCTGTGCCCGGCTGCTCATTGCTCCTCCTTCCAGAATTCCCCACCACGAAGCTGGAGATGACGGCTGTGGCCGACATCTTTGACCGTGACGGTGACGGTTACATCGACTACTACGAGTTTGTGGCTGCTCTCCATCCCAACAAGGACGCGTACCGCCCGACCACCGACGCGGACAAAATTGAGGATGAGGTGAAGCACTGGGATGGTTTGGGGCGGATCGGGACGGGCTGGCAGGAGAAGGGAGACAAAGAGGAGGAAAGAAAGGACTGTGCCGGGGTTGAGCCAAAGTAATGCATCCGTGTATGGCCGATGTTTTTGGAACTATTGGCCACGTAGGTCTGTGTTTTATCCAAAAAAAAAAAGAAGCCTATTAGAAGGGAGGCACCAAAATCCCAGTTTCTTACCTCGTTTTCTGTGGTGCAGGTCACCAGGCAAGTGGCTCAGTGCAAGTGTGCCAAGAGGTTCCAAGTGGAGCAGATCGGCGAGAACAAATACCGGGTAAGGCGGAGGGTTCCGCGTCCCCCAGCACTCCCTGCAGGGAGGGACCCCAACGGGCAGCTCCAGGGACCCCGGTGAGGAGGGGCCTCGTGCCCTGGGGCCGTATGCCCTGGGGAGGCAGTGCTGGCCCAGGCTGTGCCCATGCAGGAGAGCACAACGGTGGCAGTGTTCTGGGGTGGGCGGCTGCTCAAGTGCAGCATTCACTGCCGCCCGCAGCTGCCCTTGAAGTTTTCCTCGTGGATGAGTGTACCTTACGCCTGTGTTTTTCTTAGCTCGTTCCTGAAGAAGGAGAATAATTTCCTTACAGGATCTCTTTGTAACAGACTCCTGTGTTTATGTTTCAAATTACTCACCGAGGTGAAGCTCGGCAGTGAGCTGGCAGCCAGCTGCCCGGTTTCCTGCGCTGCGCTCGGGGCTCACAGCTCACTGCTGCCTCAGAGCCCCATAGCAGACCCCCATTGCTAACTCCCTGCAGTTAACAGTTGTGGTGATGATTGCACTGTTAATCCCATAAAATGTTTTTCTTGTTTTTCTTTCCCCTCCTCCCGCTCTCGACTTCCCTCATGCTCCCCAACCCTTTTCACTCCACTTCTCTCCTCCGTAGTTCTTCCTCGGCAACCAGGTACAGTTTGCCTTGCGATGCTCTCACCTCTTGTTAGTGGTTGTTGCTCGTGTGTCCATGGTGCCTTGTCCTTTGGGAGGATGCAATCTGTAGAGTGCTGCTTGGAGAGCCTGTCCCACCGCTGCGCAGAGCCTGGTACAGAGGAGCGCCGTCCAAAACAAACTGGGCAGGAAGAGGGGAAAAAATCGATGGGAAAAATCAGGAATTGACTGAAAGGGAGAGATTTCTGTCTCCTCGCTCCTTCCTCAGTGCCCTGGGGATGTCAGTGGGCTGGGGGACAAACTCGTGGGGTGACACTGAGGGCTGCACCAGGCTCTGTGCTCGGGTCACCGTCACCATGGAATGGAAATGCTGTGTCCACATGTTTAATCCCATAGGTAATGATAACTAAACCTCATCCTGCTGCACCTGCTGAGTAACTCCTGGTGGGAGCAGGGCTTGTAGGAACCCGCTGTCACTGCTTCCCTGTGTGGGGAGTGAGAGCAGAGTGGGGCCGGTGTGCCAGCTCACATCCAGCTCCTGTCGGTGGGATGGAGCAGCACAAAGCACTGCCTGGTGCCCAATGGCCCTCACACAGAAGGGAACGTCCTCTATGGAGGGATGGTGCCCTGCCAAAAACGTGCCCCAAAGCCTGGCGTTCCAAATTGGATGGGTGGCTTTGTGTTAGACAGTGACTGTAGAAACTTTCCCAGTGGTTACTGAAAAATAATCTGGACGTGACAGTGGAAATGAGAATTCGCCCATCCCTGCCTTTCTCTGCAGGTTTTGGGGGACCCCAAACTGGGGAGACTCCACTCCATCCCCAGGGGAAGGCCGGGGGGCTGCTCCCTGCTGTCCCTCCACCTGCAGCACTCGATTTTCATTTTATCTCTTCTTTATTATTGCATTCCTATCCATCCAATGGAAAATCCTCCTTCTTTTTTTTTTCCTTTTTTTCACTCATTCTGAAGGTGGTTTCCATTTCCAAGAGTGCTTCCCCCCCCCCTCCTTGGAGCAGTGCTTTGTGGAACGGGCAGAGCAGTGCAGGACGCAGCCTGGGCTCGGGGCCGGGGCTTCTGGCTGGGGGCACTGATTGAGAAACGGAAGGCGTTTGAAATCACTAATGAACGTCGCAATCACTAATCACCATTTCTGTGGGATTCCTGCCCGGATTCCCATCACTGCGCTCGCTGAAATCCTGGCGGGGTGGTGGCAGCGGGGCTTTTTCTGCTGCTGGGGCCAAGGCTGAGGCTCTGGGTGTCCCTGCCTTCACACTGGGGAGATTTCTCACTCGGCGGTGGCACAGCGCTGCTTTGCTGGTTCACCAACCTGCCCTGCCTTCTTTTCCAAGTGGGCTGCACCAGCAGCATCAGTGCATTGACAACCTGTTTCCTTCGGAACCAAAAAGAAAACCCGCGATTCTGGCTGCAAAAATTCGTCTAAGGGCCAAATTCCGAACCCTCGTTTGCTTCTTTAAAACTAAAGGATTTTGGTAGCTGCATCGTCTTAATGGCAGGCAGCTGAAAAACTGCAAATTGGTGCTGGTGTGCATCTGTTTGAGAGGAGCGTGAGTGGAGAGCCGCTCGGTGCTCAGCGCCCGCTTTGTGCACCTGGAAGCACAGATGGTTTCTGGCAGCCTGGCTCTGGTGCAGCCCGCAGAGGGAGGGAGCCCACAGCGCATCCTGTGGCTGATCCCCGTTTCTCTGCTCTGCAGTTCGGTGATTCCCAGCAGCTGCGGCTGGTCCGGATCCTGCGCAGCACCGTCATGGTCCGCGTCGGCGGAGGCTGGATGGCCCTGGATGAGTTCCTAGTGAAGAATGACCCCTGCAGAGGTAAAGCCATCCCGGGTTGAGCAGCTGGCTGCCTTCCCTCCGTGACAGCAGTGTGGGGACTCAGTGGCCGGGTGGCACCAGGTGCTCTGGTAGCGGGTCTGGGTTATCCACAGAACCGGGGGAAATGGGTCCAAAGCAAATGACTGGACTTAAAATAGTGAGAATTGGCAGCGCTGGGGCAGAGCTCAGCATTTGGCCAAGTTCCTAACGGGGAAGCACTGACACCAAAGTTATTTCCACCCACGGGATGTGTCAGCATCCTTCTGTTCTACAACTGCTCCTTTGGCTTTCTGCTCCAGTGACTCAGTGTGTGGCCTCACGCTGGAGCTGCCCGGCGCTGGGAGCCCACCGACCTCCCTGTGGGGCTCCCCTTGCTCAGAGGGAGACCCTCCAACTCTTGGTGACATTTGGACAGAAATGTTGACATTGGCCTTTAGCTTCCCACTCTCACCTGCCCCCTAAAATCGGTGAAGAGCTGCTCACAGCCAAGAGCAGAACCACAGCCTTTCAAAGCTGTTCTTAAGCCACTTTGAGCAACAGCCGCTGTTGTAACGTGCCACGTTTAAAGGCCATTCCGACATGATTTCCCCAAGAAACCAGAGAACAGCAATGCAGGCACTTTGGATTTGTGGAACTCGGGCAGCTTTTAAGCAGATGGGTGGGCAGGAGACCGGAGCAGCACTGAGGGCATGGATGACGTCCCCGATCGCGGGCACGGTGCCGCCTCGCTCAGCTCTCCTCTCCGTGTCCCTTCCAGCACGAGGACGGACCAACCTCGAGCTCCGGGAGAAGTTCATCCTGCCGGAGGGCGCCTCACAGGGCATGACGCCGTTCCGCTCGCGGGGCCGCAGGTCCAAACCGTCCTCCCGGGCGGCGTCCCCAACACGCTCCAGCTCCAGCGCCAGCCAGAGCAACCACAGCTGCGCCTCGATGCCGTCGTCTCCCGCAACCCCAGCCAGCGGAGCCAAGGTAGGGCCAGGGGGAGGGCCTTCCTGTGGCAGCCCGTTCCGTGAGACAGACGCTGCAGCGCCAGGAGGAGGAAGGTCGTGGGAGGGGTGCGTGGGGCGGCCTGCAGCTCAGCCCCGGGTGGGACGGCACCCGTCCGCGGCGGTGGAGCTGTGCCGCAGCCTGGGGAGAGGGGCGCCCGCTCCCCCCACCTCATCTGCTATGTTTCATTCCATCGCCCGTTTGTTGATTTTTTTCATTATTGTTATTTATTTCCTGTTCGGTTCTCATTTCATTTTAGTTCTCTTCTCCTCTCATTCTAGTTTACTTTTCTGTTCCATCTTTTTTTTTTCACTCACTCCCGCCTCTCCCCCCTCTCTGGGTTTTCCATTCCACAGACTCCTCATCACTTCTCTCGATGTTATGACAAACCCTGGTTGATAAACAGTAAAGCGGGCTCCCCGCTGCGGGGATCTGATTACCCCGACCTCCAGCTCCCCAGCTCTGAGGTAGGGTCCTCTCCCGCAGCCCCAGGACCCGTTGTTGCAGGCGGAGCTCCCGGCTTCCCTCCGGTAGCACAGCGCTTGCAAGCACTGCTGGCTGGTAGCATTTTTCATGGGTTCCTGACTCAGACCAAACCAAGCGCCAGCCTCGGGATAATGCTCACAGCACGCCTTTCTCTGATTGCAAACCAAAGGATTGAGTGTTTACTGTGTGCCCTTAAAAAAGAAAAGAGTCTCTCAGAGCTTTGGAGCATCCCAAAGAGGTGGTGATTGGCATTAAGATGGCCGAGTTCGGACGTGAAAATCAGCTACAGCACATGCATGGGAACCACTTTGCTCCGATGCACACACGTGGGGTCTGCGCTGCACTGGGGGGCGGCTTCGTTCCATCGGATGCAGCTCCTCCCTGGGGCTTCACTGTGTGGATGAGGAGCGCGGGGGGAGAGGGCGATTCGCTGAGGGGAGCAGCATAACTTGATGGTGGCTGGAAGTGCTCTCGAGCAGATCAGGCCGTCTTTGAGATCAGCAGAAGGTCGGGAGCACTTTGTGCGTTGCCCTGCGCTGCCTGCTTGCTGCTGAGCTTGTTTCTGATCAAGGATGAGAATCGAGGTCTCTGCAGTGGGAACGGTACCTTCACAATCACACCATAACGGATCTGAATTCCTGCTGGGGCTGAAGGAGAGCCCACTGCTTGGCTCCCCTCCTCCTGCGTACCCCACCCTGGCTCCAGTTTCGGGAGATCCCAAAGATCACACGGTGGGGCCTCACGTTGCTCTGAGCCACACTGTGGGGTGCAGGACAGCAGCACGAGAGGCTGGGGCTGTCCGTGTGCTGTGCCCAGCACTCCCCAGGATGAGCTTTGCTTCATTCCAGAAACTGGAGCTGCTGTCCTGGGCTGGGGCCGGGCTGTGCCTCCTCCCCTCGCTTTCCTCTGCAGCAGTGGGAGCGACGCTGCGGGTTGTGCTGCTTCCCCCTCATCCTTTGCAGCATCTTAAAGGTCATGGGAAGCACCTGTGTGTGGCACAGCCTCGTGCCCAGAGCAGCTGGCCATCGCCCTCAGTGCCCATTTGGTCCTTCTGTCTGCCCTGCTTGGCCGTGGGTCGGCTCTGAGCTCACAGAGCTGCAGTGCATCCCTGCAGTGGGATGCTGGGGTGTGGAGCCCAAAATTTTGCACTGCTCTTTGCTGGCCCGATGCTGCCGTTGTCCCATGGGAGCAGCTTTGCTTTGTTTCAGCCCGCAGTGCTGTCAGTCATTTCAGGCCCTGCTTTGTTTTTATGTTATGCCTTTTTTTAACCGCTGCCAAAACGCCACCTCGTGCTCCCCCTGGCCGTTAAGATGGATGCCGGCCGGGCACCGCGTCGCGCTGCGCTCTGTGCCGCGCTGCTCAGCGCTGCCGTCCCTCCTGCAGGTGACGCCGGGAGCGGGCAGCAAACTGAAGCGTCCCACCTTCCACTCCAGCCGCACCTCGCTGGTTGGGGACACCAGCAACAGCTCCTCGCCCGTCTCCTCGGGGGCCAAAAGCGGCCGGGCAGGTAAGCGGGGCAGGGACCGACCGGGGCCGGGGGGGAGCGGGGCGGCGGGCAGAGCCGGGAGCTGCGGGCTGGGCTGCGTGCAGCCGCTTGAGGGCTCCGCGCTCCCCGCAGACCCCAAGAAAGCCGCCAGCCGCCCCACCAGCCGCGCCGGCAGCCGCGCGGGCAGCAGAGCCAGCAGCCGCCGGGGCAGCGACGCGTCGGACTTCGACCTGCTGGAGACGCAGTCTGCGTGCTCCGACACCTCAGAGAGCAGCGCGGCCGGCTCCCGCCGCGGCGCAAAGCCTTCCAAAATCCCCACCATGTCCAAGAAGACGAGCACTGCCACCCCCAGAACGCCGGGCCCCAAGAGATAATGCTGCACCCGCGCCCTCCGGCCACGCGAGCCTCACCGCGTCCGATTTTTAACCCCGCTCATACATTGGATGTATATTTATTCTAAATGGGAGAAGCTATATTGTTAAAAGTGTAAAAGAAAGTCGTGTTATGGAGCTGCCTTACTTGGTTGGTTTTTTTTCTGTTGTTTTTTTTTGTTTTGTTTTTTTGTTTTTTTTTTCTTTTTTGTAAGTTACGATTTTCATGTGAATATTTATGTAGATAAAAACAAAAAACAAAAACAAAAACAAAACGTTGCCTCTCGGTGCCCGCAGTCCGGAGAGGGGCGGAAAACGGAGACGTGGGAGAGAAAAAGAGAAAAAAAGGAAACAAAAAAGGTCAAGATGTGAAAGTGTACAAAAGGCGGAGGTTTGAACAGGATCTCTGCGCGGTGCAGGGGGCGGACCTGCGCTGTCTTTTAGGATTGTTTCCTAAATGCATCTTTATAAACTTAACTTGCTGTCTCAGCAAGGTAAATTATATTTAAAAGCAAAGACCTGAATCCTACAGTGTTCAAGGAACTCTTTTTGTAAACCAATACCTCAGGCGGAGACACGCGAGGTGTGGGGACTTCTGGGGGCTTCTGTTTCCACGCGTTCTTTTTTTTAAGCGATGTGATTTTACCCGGGCTCTGGGATGGGATTTGCACGCAGCACGGGTTGCGGCGGCCCCTTGCAGCCGCTGTGCTGAGTGATGGCTGAGCGCCTCTGGGCTGTAAGGAGCACTGGGGGCTCGGGGCCGCTGCGGGTTGGGATCCCTCACGTCCCACGGCGGCGGCGGGTTCTGCAGGTTGGAGGATTCTTCTGCTGTGATGACCTCAGAGACCGACCCGGCGCCTTCGCCCGCACCTCCTTTCCTATTTATTACTTCTCCGGCCATCCCACTTCCAACCGGGCGACCTCTGCTCCTAGGAGAAATCTGGACTTTCGCGCACAGCTGCTTGTCGTTGAAACGAGTCTCACCAGCACATCGCTGCACGTCCTGCCCGGCTTCTGTGCGCCCTTCGTAATGGCACCGAACTGAGTGGCCGGGGGCTGCGGGGAGTGGGCTCTGCGGAGCCCCTGTATTTATTGAATGGTGTTCCTCTCCGGCTCTGACCGTGTTGCTGTGTGATTCTCTCAATTGGTTTAAATTGAGGCAAAAAAACCCTGAAGCTCTACCAATGAATTGTTTAAAAAAAGAAAACAGACACATTTTTGTATTACGATTGCTTGCGGTAATAAACAATCTTGCCTCCTACCTTTCTCCCAAGTGTTGGTGTTCCGCGTTGCAGGCGTTCGTCCCGCGCTCCCCGAGCCCCAGCAGGGCAGCCCTGCACAACCCGCGTGCAGGGAGTGCGGCAGGAGGTCATCGCGTGGATCGCAGCGGTGCGGGGACTGAGAGCAGCTGGGCGGGGGGCGGGTGCCCATGGGAGGCAGGCGAGGTCCGTCTATGCGGGCAGATGCACGGGAGAAGTGCCCACAGCAGGGGTGTCTGGGGGGGGAGCGAGTGAGAGGACCGTCGAGGCTGGGTGTCTGTGGGTCTGAGTAGGGTTGGATGCCCGTCGGTTTGAGTTCTGTGAGGTTAGACGTCCATCGTGTTGGGTGCCCACAGGGGTAGATATCTGCGGGTTTGGGTGCCCATAGAGGTACATGCGGGTTCGGGTACCCATGGGGGTAAGCATTCGTTGGTTTGGGTGCCCATAGGGGCGTACGTCCGCGGGGTCAGGCGGCCATGGATTCGGGTGTCCGTGGGAGGACGGCTGCGCTCCGTGCCGGGCGTGGAGCACCGTGGCCGGGGCGGTGCCGCCGCCGGGCCCGTCCCTTTCCCTCTCCCGGGTCCGACGCCGCGCGGGGGCCGTTTCGCACCGCTCCGCACCGCTCCGCACCGGGCGGGGGGGTCGGGGCGGCGGTGCCATGGGGTCGGGGCGCGGGGGGCGGCTGAGCGCGGTGGCCCTGCTGTGCGCGGCGGCGGTGCTGTGTCAGTGGGGCAGCGGCAGCGTCCTCCGCCGCCGCCTCCCCGCGGGGTTCGCGCAGCGGCGGCTGAGCGGCGGGGAGCGGCGGGACGTGCAGCGCGAGATCCTGGCCGTGCTGGGGCTGCCGGGGCGGCCCCGACCGCGCGCCCCCGCCGCCTCCCGCGCCCCCGCCGCCGCCGCTCCGCTCTTCATGCTCGATCTGTACCACGCCGTGGCCGGAGAAGAGGAGGAGGAGGAGGAGGCGGTGTCGCGTCCGGTGCTCACCGGGCTCAGCACCCAGAGCCCTCCGCCGGGCAGCGTGGTCAGCCACGCTGACACCGTGGTCAGCCTCGTGAACATGGGTGAGTGCGGCGCCCGGGGGCGCGGGGGGGGGGTGGGGAGGGGGGACCGGGACGGAGCGGATGTCGCGGGTAGAACCGACCCCGGACCGAAGTTTTTGCCCCGACGGCTGCCGGCGTCCGTCATCCCGGGCGCTTTCCCAGCGCGTCCCCGCTCGGAAATGCCCCTTTTCGCCCCAAGTCGGGCTTCAGAGCGGCGGGAGGGGGGCGGAGAGGGGCGCGGGGCTGAGACCTGCGCGCTCCCGAGAGAAAGCGGCGATGGCGAAGGGGAAAGTGGTGGGGGAAAGCGGTGCGCGGAGCGTGGCTTGGAGTCGCTCGTTCCCCGCTGTCTCCAGCCCTGCTGTACCGTCAGCTGCAGCGAGTTGAGCTCTCCGGCCCCCGAGTACGATTTCCATCACCGCACAACGGCGGGAGCTGCAAACCCCGCAGGACGGGGCCGCATCGCCCACCCCGTTGCGGTGTTGCGCACGAAGCAGTCGGGCGGGGAGGGCGGGCGCTGCTCTTCCCCTTCCAGCAGCGAGCTGCACCAATTACCTGCGGTGGGACACCGCTGAATCACGGCTCGGAATAAAACCCTCCCGGTCGCTCATTATTGCTGGAATCCCGTCGGGCTGGTTGCTGAGCTCCGGCTTCATCCCATTCCCAGACCTGAGAGCGGCGATGCAGCAGAGCACCAGCCAGCACCCACCGGGGTCCGCTGGCATCCTGAACGCGTACTCAGCTTTTCCTGTCTCTGCTCTTTGCTTTAGGCTGTTCGCGTGCCCCCCTCTGCCCGTTGTGGCCAAGCACGAGGTTTTTGGGGTGCTCCCGTGCAAAGACGGGGGGAGGTGTCGGGTATCCAGCCGCGGAGCAGAGTCCGGGCTTTGGCCGCACCACGGTGTGCAGTGGGATCAGTGCTTCAGGACGCGGGTGGGGTCACGCAGGCGATGCTGGGAGCAATGGGGAACAAAGGCTGGCGCGGGGCTGGCAGCTCTCAGCGTGCCCCAGGAGTGATCTCTGGAGCAGGTAGGACTACTGAGGTGTCTGCCAAGTCCTCTCCATCCTTCCCTGCATCCCCCTGCAGCGTTGGGCTGCACAGGGGTCAGGAGACCCCACAGGACAGCCCCCTTGCTGTGCCTGCAGGATGGGGCAGCCAGGACAGCGGGTGGGTGCTGGGACGTGCGCCCCTCGCTCTGCTCAGCGCTCGGCACATGAACACCAAATCGTGCTGTAACCGCGACCGATTTGGGTGGGATGGGAAGTGGGGCCGCCTGGATCCCATGCAGAGAGCTGATGAGCACAACTTCAGCCTTCAATTTGAATGGCTTTGAATTCTGCTGCTTCTCCAGCCCCTTCATTTTAATTAAATAAATTTTTTAGTGGGAGAAGGCTAACTTTCATTTGCATGCATAATTGGCTGTGCCATTACCCTTATGGGACGTGCAAATGCGGACGGCGGTGCTCCGTAGGGCACTGAGCTGCTCCCTGTGTGGGGACAAGGTGGGCACAGCGCTGCTCCCGGGCTGTGATGGAGCCCCACGTGCCGGGCAGAGCTGAGCCGGATGCAGCCGTGGCACCAGCAGCTCCAGGCCGCCTTTGGCACTCAGGTTGGCTTTGGTGCCAGGGGCTCCACCTGTCCTCTTCCAATGGGTGACGACGGGGTGCTCTGCGAGAACGCTGGGGAGGGGGCACAGCCACTAAGCCTGCAGCCAGGGGAGTGCTTTTATCCTGAGGTGAGGGGGCCTTTGTGTTCTTTTAGGAAGAATTGTTCATGGGAAGGAGCGGGAGCCCAATGGAGGCTCAGCGGCATTCACTGTGCCTGGGAGTGCTCCTCTGTCTCCCCTGGCTTTGGAAAGCTCTGGAGTTTATTTTTTTCCCTCCCTGCAAGTGAAGGAGCATCTTCCCTGCACCTCCTTTAGACCTATTTTAGCATTCAGTGTGCTTGATGTGGTCGAATATCCTGGCATTTCCTTTTAATTTAGTGCCTGAAATGGTCGCAGGGGCTGCTCGGTGCAGCCAGGACCTGTAATTACCACTGATGTGCGTTTATAGAAGCAGCGCACGGAATGCGTGCAATGAAGTGCAGCTAAAAATAAAATAGAGGGGAGAAGAAGTGTAGGGCCTGGGGGCACCAGAGCTGGGGCCGCATGGCCCAATGCCATGACATAAGGTATGTGTGGTGCTACCATTATTTGGGATGGAGGATGTGACATTGGCGGCTGGGGAGGGACACGGCAGCCTGGGGGTGGGACAGTGCAGAAGGAGGGGGCAAGGAGAGCAGAGGAGCTGGGCTGGGTGTTTTTAGTGCCTCGCCCGCAGCCCGGATCACCCGCCCACAGCTAATTGTGGGGTGGTGGTGCTGAGTCAACACCGCCCCGATCAATAGCTGGGTCCAAGGGGGGGAGGCAGAGCCGCTCCAACAGCTGCAGAGAGGCGCGGAGATGGGGCACAGAACCTCAACACCGCCGCACTGTGAGCTCAGCTCAGCCCGTGCCTGAAGGATGCACAGAGATGCTGCTCTGTGCTGGCTGTCCCTGCGCTCGTCCCCTGCCTTGGCACGGTGCTGTGGCTGCTCGCTGGCTGCAGGCAGGCTGCTCAGTTGTGGTGTGGGGCTTTTTGCAGGAGCGCTGAGGGCTCTGGCAGGGCTGAGCGGTTGGCACAGCAGGGCGAACAGAACAGTGCAGAAAAGGGCTTCTGAGCCACTGCAGCTCCCGGTGCTCAGCCCCAGCACCCGCCTGGGCAGCACAGGGGGTCCTGGCGTCCCCCCGCCTGCAGTGGCTGCTCAGTGCCTGCAGGAAGCGGCTCCACATCCGCCCGGCCGCCAGCCCTGAGCTTTATTTAAAACAGCCCTGTGGTGAACCCCAGGGCTGGAGGAACGCGGCGTTGGGTTCAGAGGGAAAAAAAAGGAAAAGAGAGGAAAAAAAAGACCTGTGGATACATAGTGAGCATCTCGGCGCTCGGTTCAGAGAGGTGCGCCGAGCTGCATGTGTGCAGATGGGCAGGAAAACACTGGGGTGTGTGAAATCAGGATTGTGCCCCACTGGGAATGGCTTAAAATGGCATCTGAGGGTGTTTGATTATTTATTCACGATTTTGTGTGTTTGGGTCTTTTAAAGTAGGCAGAAGCTGAGATTTGTGACATTTCATTTATGTTTAAAGCAGGAAGAGCGTTAATCACCTTAATTATGTTCAGCCACGGCAGGCTGGAATACTTTTAAAGAACAATTTGAAGAAAATAATTACACATTAGTGAGCCGGTGGGGACGCCCTGCCGCAAAGGTGCTTTCCTTTATGGGTTTAAAAAGAAGCTTCCTTTACCAAAAGGCACCGATTTCTGCAGAAAGCAGACTTTCAATGGAAGGAAGGGGGTTGTTGGCACATAGCACTGACCGGGCGCCTGCCTGCCCTCGCCTCGCTCCCTCCGTCCCGTGTGCCGTCAGCACAGGGCAGGCAGGTGCCGGGCCCAGGGCACGGGGACGGCGGGGCTTCTTGCCACATGGGGGGAGCGGGGTCAGCCCTGGGGGCGGTCCCTGACCCCCATGCCCCGCAGTGGAGCAGGACCGGGACACCTCCTCCCCAAAGCCCTACTGGAAGGAGTTCCGCTTCGACCTGGCTCAGGTGCCTGCAGGGGAGACGGTGACGGCCGCCGAGTTCCGCATCTACAAAGCGCGGGGCGTCAGCCGGCACGGCAACAGCACCCTGCATGTCAGCATCTACGAGATCGCCGCCGAGCGCGCCAACAGGTGACAGCCATGGGATGGGTGGGGATGGAGGATGGGATGGGGATAGGGACGGGGTAGGATGGGTGGGAGCCATGGGATGGGTGGGGATGGAGCGGGACAGGGGTAGGCATAGGGATGAGAACTGGGATGGGGACCAGAATGGGGACCATGATGGGGATGAGGAGTGGGGTAGGATGAGGCACCGGGGCAGGGATGGAGGCTGAGATACGGGACAGGATTGGGAACTGGGATAGAGATAGGGACCAAGACTGCGATGGGTTTGGGGCCAGTGTCAAGCACCACCTCTGCCCTTCACCTTTCCCCCCCTGTGCCAAATGCTGCTCCACAGCGTCCCCAGGCAGTGACACACGCGGTGCTAGGAGGGAGCTGTGCTTTTCCCAGGGCAGCTGCCAGGGTGCCACCTTCACACAGCCACAGGCGCTGTCCTGACCTCGCAGCACCGGGGCCTGTATGGGCACGGGCACAGGAGTCATTTCCACAAATGGCTGTGGGATGGAGGAGCCTCAGGGTGTTACTCACCACTGTGCCCATCTGCAGGGAGTCCAACCTGTTCCTGCTGGACTCCCAGCAGCTGCGTGCCGGCACCGAGGGCTGGCTGGTGTTCGACGTCACAGCCGCCAGCAGCCACTGGCTGGTGGAACGCAAGCACAACCTGGGCCTGCGGCTCTACGTGGAGACAGACAATGGTAAGAACCACTGCAGCATCGGGGCCTGAACCCCAGAAACACCCTCAGTGCTGCCGCAGCTCTGCAGCGTGCAGCTCCCATCTGCGGGGTGGGCAGCGCTGCAGGATGCGGCTGCACCGCGTGGGCGCCCTTCGAGCGCTGCGTGCAGAGCTGAGGATGCTGCACGGTGCCGGCCTGCAGGACCTGCCCGCATCTGTGCCCCGCTCTGTCCCTGCAGGGCTCAGCGTGGAGCCAGGCTCGGTAGGGCTGTTGGGCCGCCGTGGGCCCCGCTCCAAGCAGCCCTTCATGGTGACTTTCTTCCGGGCGAGCGCCAGCCCCGTGCGAGCCACGCGAGCGGCCAAAGCACCGCGCAGGAGGCAGCCCAAGAAGAGCAACGACCTCCCACACCCCAACAGGCTGCCAGGAATCTTTGGTAAGAGCCCTGTGGAGCAGCCCGGGCTGTGCAGGGAGCGCGAGGCTCTGCTGCCCATTCCCATATTGCTCCTCCAGGCTGGGAGCGCAGCCCTGCCTGCACCCAGGCGGCTCCGTGTGCCCCCTGTGCACCACAGTACAGCCCCAACCCCAGGCTGATGCTGCCTCCCTCTCTCCACAGATGATGTCCACTCTGCAGATGGGCGGCAGGTTTGCCGGAGGCACGAGCTCTATGTCAGCTTCCAGGACCTGGGCTGGTTGGTACGGTCCCGATCCCCCCACAGAGCCACAGCTCCCGGCCACTCGCAGTTTTGGTGACCCCAAACTTCAGAACAAACCTGGGGAGGAGGTGGGGGGGAGCAGGAATGGAGGAGCAAGCAGTGCCCCAGTGCAACGTCTTCTCCTTGCAGGACTGGGTGATCGCCCCCCAGGGCTACTCAGCCTACTACTGCGAGGGGGAGTGCGCCTTCCCGCTGGACTCCTGCATGAACGCCACCAACCACGCCATCCTGCAGTCCCTGGTCAGTGCTGGCACTGCTGGGGGGTTCTGGTGCCGGTCCCCTCCTTGTCCCCATGTGCAGAGGCTGCCCCCCGAGGCCCAGCGGAGCCCAAGCGCTGGGCTCAGCATGTTCCGAGCAGGAAGGCTTCGCTGCCCGTTTTCCCAAATCCACTCCACATTGCAACCCATGCTTTAATTTCTGGAATTTCCTGACCTGTGAGTGCTTGATTTCCCAATGGTGGAGTCACACCGACTCCGGTGCTCGCAGTTAATTACAGGGAGCGCCGAGTCCTCAGCTGAGCCTTTGAAGGTGTCTCCTGGCAGGGTTTAGTTTTTGCATTAATGAAGCTGCCTGAGCCCCCCCCCCCGCTGTGGGCACCCACCCTCAGCCCCGGCCCAGGGCTCTTCCCAGCACAGATGTGAATCACCTGGCACTGGGAGCTGCAAATGGCAGCGTTGGGCAGCACAGCGCCGGACTTCCGAGCTGGGAGAGCCGTGCTGGCACATGGCTCACATGTGGGGTGAGGCCAGGGGGAGCTGCCTGCAAAGCTCACGGTGCCAGGGCTCGGCTCCGGGTCCAGAGACTCAAATGAACGAAGGGCCGCCCAGATCCAATATAAACTGACTGCAGAGAGGACTGCCAAGGGTTTAGAATAAATATTTTTACAAAAGGCTGGAAATAATCCCCCATTCACCCAGGCTTCTCCAGGTTAAGAACCGGGGTGCTTTGAGGCTTCTCCCATGCCGACAACCCCTCTGCCCCTCAGGTGCACCTGATGAAGCCTGAGGCCGTGCCCAAGGCGTGCTGCGCACCCACCAAGCTCAGTGCCACCTCCGTCCTCTACTACGACAGCAACAACAACGTGATCCTCAAGAAGCACCGCAACATGGTGGTGAAGTCCTGCGGCTGCCACTGAGCACCAGGGGGGAAGAGGGGCACCGGGATCCGTGCTGGGTGCGGGGAGAGGGGGATACTGCAGCAGCACTGGGGCTGCCCACCCGACACACCACCACCCGTCTGCCCAGCCCTTTCCCTTCCCAGAAGTGGATGTAAATAATATAAAACTTCCCTTCTCTCACCACATATAATGAGAAACATCCATACTATACATGCGTAGATATAAATATATAGAAGAGGAAGAGGATTTGTGGTCGGTGATGTCGGGCCGTGGCGGATGTGCGGTGCCCGGGGTGAGGCAGGGCGGCTCCGAGGACAGCTGGGCAGCCCGGCTCCAAGCAGGGCTTCCAGTTCCCTACACAAAAACACCCTCAGCCAATTAAGTAGCCGGCTGACTAACAGGCTCCTGTTTACTTAGAGTTCACAAAACTCAGCCAAGGGGAAAAAAAATAATACATATTGAGCTACAACACTGTTATAAAATAAATGCCTAGTTTGGAAAGTAAACACGGCGTTTCTCTTGCTGCTTTTTCATAAATGTCACAGCACAACGACGTTCTGTTCTGCATGCTGAATTTCGCAATGAAAAAGTACTCACGATGGCCTAAAACTGCTCCTGTTTGCCTGAAGCTGAGCCCAGCAGGCGCTGTGGCAGCTGGGGCTGCTCTGGAGCACCCAGGGAACCTGGCTTACCCACACACAGAGGAAAAAACAAAGAGGAAAAAATGCAGTAAACCAACCCAAATCCCAAGGATGGTGAGCACCAAAAAAGGAACATCCTGATCCTGCTGCCTGGGGTAAGGGCTCACCGCACCAGAAAGGTTCCATTTGCTGATGAAGGCAACGCAGAGTGGCTCAGGACGCAGCCGTGCCCCTGGGCGGAATGCTCCTGGGTGAGGGCTTGCGTGGGGATGTCTGCAAGGACTATTCCAAACCTTGAGATTTAAGGAGCATCCTCACTCAGTGAGAACCCAACAGCCAGGACAGGCCTTTGTTTTTCGAACACTCGGTTTTATTATTTCTGTGAAATATAGGAAGTCTTTGCCAAGCGAGGGGCAGACAGTGGGAGCAGGAAGCAGCACAGGCACAACGCGCCCGCAGCAGCCGCCTCCCCGCTCAGCCCGCTGCAGGACGGGGCACCAAACCTGGCAGGGGCAGCTGGGCAGCAGCACTGCGCTCACACGCACTCCCCGCAGTCGGAGATGATCACCTTCTGCTTCGGCTTCCCGTCCTTGGTGCCCTGAGCCTGCAGAAGGGAAGGAAGGCTGGCAGTCGGGGGCAGGGCTGCACACACACAACCCGCCTCGCTGCGGCACTGACCTCGATCTGCCGCACCACATCCATGCCCTCCGTCACCTCCCCAAACACCACGTGCTTCCCATCCAGCCAGTCGGTTTTATCACAGGTGATGAAGAACTGCGAGCCATTGGTGTTGGGGCCGGAGTTTGCCATGGACAGCAGCCCTGGGACCAAACAGCGCAGCGTTACTGGGAGCAATGCCAGTAATTAACTAAACCCCCCCTGGGCCGCGCAGACGATGCTGGTTTTAAGAGTCTCTGAATATTGAAACTGCGGGAAGCTGATGATGCCAAGAAACACCTACAAGTATGAGCAGAGTGAAGTGGTAGAGAGCATTAATCTATTTTTAACTGCAGCAACAGCAAAGCCTTGGAGATCGGCCTGCTTGCTTTCTGCCACCTTTCCACCGCTCATAGTTACACTGCAACATTCCTCCCCTAAAACCCAACGGGAAAGCAGCTTTGAAATTCTCCATGATATAAGACTGAAGTTAACAGCGTGTGCACAGAGACAGGGGCTGCATTTCTGCCCTGGGCACACTGCAGTCTGCTGCTGCTGCGCGGTCAGAGCAGCTCGAGGAACCCCACAGCGCTCACCCTACCCGGCCCCGTGTGCTTCAGGATGAAGTTTTCATCATCAAACTTCTTCCCATAGATGGACTTTCCTCCAGTGCCGTTGTGGTTGGTGAAGTCCCCAGCTTGACACATGAACTGGGGGATGATGCGGTGGAAGCTGCTCCCCTTGAAGCCGAAGCCTTTCTCCTGAGTGCAGAGGCAGCGGAAGTTTTCTGTTCGGGGCGAGGGGCAGAGGTGAGCACAGCACGCAGCCCGAGGGCCGCAGGGCAGCAGCACCGCTCACCTACGGTCATGGGCACCACGTCGGACCGCAGCAGGATCTTGAGCCGCCCTGCAGGTTTGTTGCCGATCTTGATGTCCATGTAAACCTGGGGGTTTGCCCGGGACTTCTTGGCAGGAGGCTCACCCTAGGCAAGGAGGAGGCACACAGCGGCGCTGCTGCTCAGCTCTGCCACCCGATGGCCGGTCTGACCCCAGCCTGCGGCACAGGGCCGGCAGCAGATCCAGCTCCAAAAGTGCCTGGAGGCAGCAGGCAGCAAACGGCGGCTCCTCACAGCCTGGGGGCTGCTGCAGGATGCAGTAAAAACACGCAGCTCCCTCTGGGCTCACCAAGCTTCTGGGGACACAGGGACTGACATGACCCCAGCTCACTCCTGGTTCCCAAAGCTGGTAGCATCCAGATCCCCAGGTGGCTGTTCCCCACTCCGAGGCACTCAGCAGGGCACAACCAGTTCCATCCATCCTTACCTCCTGTGTCTCTGCTTTGGGTGCCTCTGTTCCTCCTTCCTCTGTGTTCTCCTCCAGAGTCTTTCCTGAGAACCTCTTCAGCCACTCATCATCTGACCACACTGCAGCAGAGCAGGGCAGGGTGAGCATGGGGCGCTGAGCCCAGGGCCAAGCAACTCAGGACTCAGCACAGCTCTGGCAGCAGCAGGACTGCACCCAGGGTGCTGCTGGCCCAACCACTCCCCTGCACGCAATCACCCCCCGCATGGGGACACGGGGACAGAGCCAGCAACTCCCCCAAGTAATAACCCACAGCCCACTGGCTGCGTGCCACCATCCACCTCTCGCCAGCACTTTGCTGAGCATGGCTGGGCTCCCTCCCATTTCAGGTGTGACAGTAACCCTGCCAGGTGTGTGAGTGCGTGTCTGGCCCCCTGTAGAGAGCAACTAGAAGCGCAGCCATGTCTGTCTGAGGGGCTGGGGGATGTTTTTGGTTCTTGGGACCCCACGAGGCTTGAATGGGAAGCAGAGCCTTGGGAAACCAAAAGGGCCGATGTGCACCCAGCGCTGAACGCCCACAGGGGTTTCTCCTCTCCTAGGCACCAACTTACCTGGCCGAGATGATCCTTCTTTAATTCGCATTGGTTTGGCCAAGTTCACTCGAATTGTCCGACCAAAGAGCTCAGACTCGTTCTACAAAGAACAAAAAAAGAACAAAGCCCACCACAGGGTAAAAACTCACTACGTCCCCTCTGCATAGAGAGCAGGGCTGGCTTTCTCTCCCCACTTCTGAGCACCACAAGGGCCCCACAGCTCAGGAGCTGCACTGAGACCACAGGCAGCGGCAACCATGCCAGCAAAGTAGGGCCAGGCACGACAGTCCCAGGCAGACCCGTGTCTGCAGCACCACCCAGCACACGTGGCAGGAGCTGCCCCAGGCTTGTTTGCAGCTGCTGGCCAGGGCCAGCCGTGTCCCAGCAGAGGTGAGCTCCGGGCTGTGAAGCAGGGCAGGCCTCGTACCATGTTGTCAATGGCTGCTGCTGCATCCTGTGTGAAGAGCAATAGGACGCCTCGTTACAGCCACTTCTCTCTTCCTTTAAAGAAAAAAGCCTGGGCACACAGAGTTGGCGCAGCTGCCTCCGCGTCCGCAGACCGGGAGAGGAGCAAAGCCGCCGCGCGCTGCCCCGGGCAGATCTCTCGGCTGCAGGCAGCTCCCGCGGCCCGGCCGCCATCCCGGAGGGCGGCTTTGCTCCTCCTCTCACCTCCGCCAGCTCGAACTCCACGAAGGCGAAACCTCGGTGCTTCTCTGCGAACGCAGCCCGCGGTCAGAGCCCGGCTCACAGCGCGCCGCCGCCCCGCGCCCCGCCACGCACCGGTCTCGTAGTCCAGCGGGATCTGGATGTCGGTGATGTCGCCGAACGGGATGAAGGCGGCGTGCAGCACCTTCTCGTCCACCTCCTCCGCCAGCCCGCCTGCGGCGCACAGCGTTACGGCCCCGCTTGCCCCGCGCGGCGCCCGCAGCCCCCGGCCCCACTCACCCACGTACAGCACCCGCTTGGTGGCCGCCATCTTAACCCCCCCCCCCCCGGAAGTTCGCGCGAATCCCGCCCTTCCGCAGCGCCGAAGAAAGGCGCCCCCTGCGGGCGGGGAGGTGCGAGCGCAGGCGAACCGGAACCGAAGCGCGCAGCGCCTGGAGCTTCACAGCAACCCCAGCAGCAAATGAACGCCGTCGAGTGCCGTGAGTCAACGTCAAAATCACGCACCAACAGAGAACGATGACAAATGCAGACAAAGATTTTATTCCTTTATTGACAAAAGACTTTCCAGAACTTTCCACACTGGACTTTGAGTTAAAACCAAAACCACAAAATGCTTTAACTGGAAATCCTCGATGTTGCGCTTCGAAAAGACAAGCGGTAACCCTGCTGTGACACAAGGGAAAAGCTTGCAAACTCAATTCTGGTTTTGGAAATCTAGAGCTGCGCAGAGTCGGCTTGGTAAGAGTTTAAGGATTGGTTTATAAAATGCAGGGTAACTACGCAACGTGCCGCACGGCCCTGAGTCCTGCAGCACAGTGCAGAATCTGCAGAGCTGACACCTGGCAGGGGCTATTTGGCTTCTTTGCATCCTGCAGGAAAAGGAGGAAGACGTTACCTGCCAGGTACTGCAAAATAAAAGCCTTCTTTAGGCGTCTGGAGCTGGACACAGGAGACAGCATTTGTTTGGGCAGAGCTGCACCAGGAATGGCTCTGCTGGCAGCAGCCTCTGATGCACGCTGCAGGCAGATGACTGCAGGACAAGCAATGGCACCAGCACAGCACTTCACCCTGAAGTCACCAGAACATCTTGCACGTCATTTTATCTCCTAGATCAGCACTGGCACAAGACTCATCTCAATCTGCTGTACTTTCATGACCTCCCAGCAGGAACACTTCAGCAATTCACGCATCATCTTTCCAATGCTTAATTAAACAGATTTTTGAAGAACTGGCTAAAATCAGACAGGCGCCGCTCCCAGACCAACATAAGCCTCCCAGACCAAGAACACTCAGTGACTGCCTTGCTTTATTTACCAATCCTGGAAGCTTTTAATCAAAGCCGAGGACTGAGACACTCACCAGTCTTCCTGGCTTAAGAGGTAGCAGCAACCACACCCACCTTCTGGGCAGCTTCTTTCTTGGCTTGGTGAGCCTGCAACACTGCGACAGCCTCCTCCACCTCCAGGAAGACAGATGAGCCAGCGAGTGAGAATTCTCTCAGCTGAAGGGCCCCACAGCCTGCCCCCAGCCAAGGAACAGGCCAGCTTACCTTTGACCGGAGGGACTCTGGAGACTCCAGCATGTGCAACAGCTCTGAGTTGTCAATCTCCAGCAACATTCCTGTGATCTTCCCTGCGAGGCTGGGATGCATAGCTTGAATAAGAGGGAACAAACGTTCTCCTAGAAAAAAAGGGTTTCAGACAATTTTAAAGCTGTTGATGAAACATGGGGACATTTCCAAAGTAAAATGCAATCTGGAAGAACCTGAGTGAAACTCACCCAGCATCTGTTTCTGCTCCTGGGGAGGGGCAGCAGCCAGCATGGAGGCTGTTAGTGGCTCCTGTCCCTGCACGTGTACTGCAGGCTGAGGTGCCTATAGAAAGGCAGATAGGAGGATGCAAAAATAGATGCTGTGCTGATTGTTTCTGCAAAAGCTCTTCAGTATGTAAAACTGCAAAAACTCTGCATGTAAAACCTGTTGGCCTGCAGCTGCTTCAGGCACAGACCCTTGTGTTACCTGCAAAGGTTGTACAGGTGGATGTGGGCTGCGGACACTTGAGGCATATTTATAAGGGGGAACTGCTCTGGGAGCAGGAGCAGCTACAGGTGGACGAGGAGCCAAGTTCTGTCCTGCAGTGGTAACACCTGCAAAAGGAGAGCAGGATTAAAAACACCCATAGGAATGCACAGCAAATAACCTGAGGCATCTTAATGACCACTAAATTCAAACTATGCACTGCACAGGCAAATATTGGCTTAGAAACTGGTCTCCAAATTACAACTGGATATTTCAGAAAAGGACTATTCTACATTCTGCATTTATGGTATTGTCTAGTTACTCCATAAAATAAAATTTGGGTGCTCTACTCTGAGAACAATATCCATAACCTGCAGTCCTATTTACAGCGGTAAATGTTGCAGAGCTGTAGAGATGAGTTCCAAGCAAGTGGAAAATAACCCATCTGGATTTCTGCTGCTGTGCTGTAGCACCAACTGTCCCTAGACCAGCACTGCACAGCAAGGAATAGGAAAGATTCAGGTGCTGTCTCTGCCCCTCACTGCAGGCGTCTGTTTCTGACAACCACCTTTGTGAGTAGAGGTCAAGTCTCAACAGCACCCTCACCCCCGCAGCTGAGGAGAAGAGCCTGGGAGGCAGACGCCTTACCGACTCGCTGGGCAGAAACAGGGAGGCCACGAGAGACAGGAGCAGTGCCAGCAGGGGCCAGGTGGCGCAGGGCTGGCCGTGGCCCAGACTGGCGCATGGCGCTTGGCATTCCCTGGAAGCCTGATGGAGGAAACGAGAGGAAATCCTCAAACCAGAACTGACCGCTGAGTCGGGCCGCTCAGCTACAGGAAGCAAGCTGAAGCTGTGCACAGAAAGGAAAGCATGCATTCATGCCAGAAGGCACAACCCAGAGGGCCACACCACCAAAGCCGTCTCTAGACGCTCACCTTGAGGTCTTCCTCCTTGCTGCCAGCGCGGGTTGGGTCTCATCTGTGCCATCTGATTGGGTGCATAGTAAGTGGGTCTGCTCTGAGCCTGGAGGGAGACCAAACGAGCTAAAGGCAACATCTAAGTGAACAACAAGCATTGTTCACAGTGTGGTTTGGCAGTTTTTCCCCAGACTCAACGCCCAACTCAAATTAAGAGAGCACACAGCCGGGACGTCACAATTAACTCCACTGACTGCACTCCCCATTAGGGGTTGCTTGCTCATGGGCGTAAGAAAGACTCAATGGGATGAATGCAAACAACTCAGGGTCCAAGCACAGTTAAAATGATCATAACACCATACTAACTTGCTCAGCTTACCTGGGGCACAGCAGGCATGAAATAACCGCCAGCAGCAGGCTGGAACTGATTAATGATTGTGTTGGCTGGCAAGGCTCTCATGCCAGCAATGCGCTGCATGTACTGATTAGTTAGATGAGCCTTCCGCTCTTCTTTCCTTTGTGCAAGTGCAACATAGAGTGGCTTTGAGCCCACTATTCGACCATTCATCTCTGTCACAGCTTTCGTAGCTTCCTCTGGAGAGGAAAAGCAGACAAAGCCAAACCCTTTGCTCCGTCCATCTTCCAGCATCACCTGCAGTAAAGACCAATTGCTGGTAGAGCAACATTTCAAGAACAGTTTAAGAATCTCTATTTTTGACCGCAGAGAAATATAAGATTTCAAGGAAGAACTGTTGCAGAGGTGTAGGGACAATTAGTCAATGAAGAACCACTTGTCTGGATTCGCTCTGCCTTTCTGTCAGCACCATGCGTCCCCAGACTCACACTGCACAGCAAGGAATGGGAAAGATTAGGTGCAGCCTCTAATCAAACGTGAAAAAATGCCTGCTTGCCAATCAGCATGACATGGCAATGTTTTCCACCTCTAGTCCCCCCCACTTCTGATGAGGAATCAAACAAGTTATCAGTAAAATCACGATGAGACCCAAGGAAATCTGCCCAAAATTCTCATGACTGCACCAACGAGGGGATATACATCTGCCCTTCAGTCCTTTGTCAAGTAACAGTTCCTTCCTCGAGCTTTAAAATCCCAAAATCCCCAAGCCCCACAGTACCTTTGCACTTGTTATTGACCCAAAAGGTGAGAATTCCTTCCTCAGTTTTTCATCATCTATAGTGTCATCTAGGTTTTTAATGTATAGGTTAACTCCCTGAAAGGTAGAGAACAGTAGGATAATTAAGACATCTACAGTAGTAAAGAGAATCTTCAGCACATCAACTGTCAGCATCCATTTGCCAAAGCTGTCATTTGTCTAAAACCTCTCAATTCAGCAAGACATCTGTCATACCAAGACTGATGGCAATAAATGTTGCAAAGGTGTAGAGACAAACCCCAATGCAGTGAAAGAGCCTGTCTGGATTTCCTCTGCTTTCTTGTTGCATCATGTGTCCCCAGTCCTGCACTGCATTGCAAGGAGTGGGAAAGATTCAGATGCAATCTCTGGCACAACTTTGCTAAAAACTGAACCAACAGCAGCTCAGAGTCACATCTCTTTCCATCCTTTCAGGTATGCTCATGTGAAATTAGAGATGACTGCATGACTTCTCTCACATCCTCCTAAGCACTTCACTGTGAAGACCATGCACGGAAATCTCCTTTGCCTCCAAGTTCCATGGAGTCACCTTAAAGTTTGCACTCTAAGAATATATCACAGGGCGACCACTGCAGTCAGTGCCTTTTAAGTCTACCAACAGATGGAAAACGGTACTTAAATTCAGAAGAGGGACAGGCTGTTCACCTGGTACCGGCTGATTCTCTCTTGTTTTAGCTGTTCAAATCTCCTTTTCAGCTCTGCCTGGCGCTCCACCTTCTTCTGTGCTCGGCCTACAAACACCATTTTCCCATTGATATCCTTCCCATTCATTTCTTCCACTGCCTGGACAGAGGGGTCAAAGAAAACTGTCAATTGCTGGAACAGGACAGCAGCCGATCCTGTTAAGAACTGGGCTGCCCAAAGATCTCCCTGCTCGTTAGCCAACAGCTGCCACAGCACCTCTGCGCTGCTCCCGTTTTACACCAGCTAACTAAAGATAAACTGAAGTTACCAGGAGAGACCACGCTGACAACCTTACTGTAATGCTGGACTAACAGCAGGAACTTGTGAATTTACCCCCACCCCTTCTGTAGCCAGTGTCAAACAATAACAAACATAAGGCTCCAAAGACACTGCTCTAAGAACACTCACTCCCTAAGCCATCCACCAGAGCACTTCTTCAGCAATTAATGTTCAGATTAAACAACTGCATTCTGTGTGCATCTAGTAACCTGAGAAGTGTCAGCTTAATCCTGAAGCAAGGTCACAACGTGGTGACGTGCGAATGGCTTCAAGCCCCCACATCCAGAAGAGGTTTACATCTGAGGCGGAATTTTATCTCAACCGGCTTCTATGGCAAGCCAAGAAAGCTCTTCTCCAAAGACACGCAGGCAGCATTAACACCCGGTCATACCTTGTTAGCATCTTCATGCTTTTCAAAGCTTACAAAGCCAAAGCCTTTGGATTTTCCAGTGGGGTCTGTCATCACTTTAACACTCAGAGTCTTACCTGTTACCAAGGGACAGGGTTAGTGAAACATAATGTAAGGCTATTTCAAGTCTATAAGCTCCACAGAATCACCCTAGCCTTCTTCTCTCACTCCTCTGCTGGCCACTCTCTGCCTCCTGTCCAATGTTTGACAGAATTACTGCCCACTCCTCAACTCTTCCAATTCATCAGCCTCAAAGTCACCCCAGCAGATGTATTCAGATGGCAGCAGCACTTAAATTAGCACAGCTCATGAAATTCACAGTCACATTAGAGTTTCAGTACTTACCATATTTACTGAAGAGTTCCTTTAGTCTTTCATCATCCATGTCATCCCCAAAGTTCTTAATATAAACGTTGGTGAATTCCTTTGCCTTGGCTCCCAGCTCAGCCTCCCGCTCTTTACGAGACTTGAATCTCCCAACAAATCTGCATGAAAGAATGAAATTAAGTGAGGAACTTGTTTAAAAAAAAAAAAAAAAAAAAAAAAAAAGTAAAAACAGCACGTGATTTGCAGTGAGGCAAAAAAAAAGAATTCTTTTTTGTAGTAGGAGCCAGACACAGGGAGAAGAAAGAGTGCCAGAACAGAAGGACAGAGAGGCTGCAGACCAACCAGAAAAGTCCCCTGTCCTGCAGTGAAAAGCAGCAGCCTAGGATGCCCACCCAGCTCTGCAGTGAAGAGTACTGGCCAGACACCCACCCAGCCCACTTGCAGAGGGAGCAAATCAAGGCTTGGTTAGGGAAACCACAGCCCTGCAATGGAAGGGGAGCAGGCTATGGCTTGGGCAGGGTCACTCACCAGCCCTGTAGTGGAGAGGTAGCAGGCCAAGGCTTGGGCCAGGAGAACCTTGTGTGTCCCTGTTAATACCGAGATGCATCACGGTTCATGCGCTCGCTGCTGCTGCTGCTGTGACACTCACACTTTGCGGTCGTTTAGCAGCATGCCGTTCATCTTCTCGATGGCTCTATCTGCAGCATCCTGGGTCTCAAAGTGCACAAATGCGTAGCCCTTAGAGCCATTCTCATCACACACCACCTAGACACACGGGAGGAAACCAATCCGTCAGACCTGGGAGCGCACACCTCCGCCATGCTCAACCGCAGCGTCAGCACACGAGAGCCGGTGGCCGCTGAGGGCCGAAGCAGTGAGATGTCTGTGTTTAGACTGGCTCATTTCATGACCAAACCTGACAACTCCAGCAATCCCTGACCTTCTGGTCAGCTCTGCCTTCAAGAGGCAGCCCTCCATTTGGTGACAGTGCCACTCCTGCCTCTACACCGGGTGTCTCTGATCGCGTCACCACTACAGCAGGATGGGAAAAAGTCACCACATCTCACCTTGCAGGACAAAATATTCCCAAACGCTGAGAACGTGTCATAAAGTGCCTTGTTATCAATGGATTTGTCCAGGTTCTTAATGAAGACGTTCCCAACCCCCGACTTCCTCAACGAGGGGTCCCTCTGAGACCACATGATGCGAATGGGCTTCCCTTTGATCACATCGAAGTTCATGGTGTCTAGAGCACGTTCAGCTGCAAGAGAAGTGCAGAACAGGTTTCTATGGCTTGTTAAAGCACAAAGGCTTCCATCACGTGAGTGGCAATGTAAATGAAATTAGAGAGACTTTGGGGCGATAACATGGGTCAATTCCAATGGCTACTTTTAGTTTAACTCCATGTTTCAATGGAGGTCCTTGCAGCACAGTTACTAGACATATTTGAGAACATAACAGATTTAATAATCTTTTCTGAACTGACACTATGATGTTTTCATAGCCACAGAAAAATGAATGCCAAAGTACTTAGACTTGGTTACATTCCTCGCTATTATGAAGGTAAACTGCTGAAATCAAAAGAAGGGAAAGATGCAGGCAGCTCTCACCTACTCATACACATTTCTACTAAGAGAAAATGATCGCTTCTCTGTCAGGTCAGGGACAGAGAACGCACACAAACACACGGCTGGCAGGGAAGAACACAACCAGCCTCCATTGCTGGTGGCCAACAAATGATTTCCAGTTTTCTGACTAAAGGGCAACAGTGCCAACAGACAACATGCTGAGAAAAAGGCCCAGGTACCCAATGTGATGAACAGGGAAGCATTTAATTCAGCTCTGAAACCCCAGCGCTGCCATCCTGGGCCACACTGAACCCCGTCGTCACGATTCTATTTCTGCTGCCTACTGATGTATTAACGGATCATTGCGTACACGCGTCAGGATCTGCTTCATAAAATTCAGATGCTTGTGACTCTTCTGTGCCAGGAAACGCTCCTAACATGGAGTCGGCAGAGAAAGAGAGACTTAATTCCCAGCACGAGGCAGGGAAATAAAGGGATAAATACGCATTAAGATCAAGGAACACTAACAGGGCAGAACCCAAGTTTTCCAAATTTCTTTGGCTCAGTTCTTCACACCACTGTCACTCAGTTAATGGTATCAGTTCAGGGCAGCAAATTCAGCCCAAAAGCCAACACCAATACCTTCTCCTCTCAAGTGATGCTTTGTTAGAGCAGAGAAGCCATACAGCATTTCACAGAGCTCTCTAGATCCTCAGTGGGGCACTGCCTACAGAAGTCTCCTGCACTCCCCACCTCAAAATCAGTGAACTACTGCACAAAAGTTTATTAGAGCTTCTCATGTGCTTTGAAGACTTTTCCTGCTACTGCTCTTTAAGTTGAACTGGTGCCATCTCTTTTTTCCCCAGTCCTTCACACAATCCCTACTGTGAAACAAGTTCTGCTGGATCTCGTTACTGCAGCAGAGAGACTTACAACATTAGAAGGACAAAAACCATCTCAGAGGAAAATCTTACATGCTAGGGCTCTACTCGCTCCACTAGCTATTTAAAAGCCTTACATTCAATTAACTGCCATGCTAAAATGATTCCTCAGCTGCTGCTCTGAATCAGTGCAGCCCTGTGGCTGCCCCCATCGCCACTCCTGGTAGGCGCTTCAGCAGGCAACTCGGTGCAGGCCGTCAAATTTGGCAGTGCTTATTTATAGCAAGGAGAGCTGCTGCAGAAGCACGCACTGGCAAGGACACAAACAAGCTGCATGTTCCATCTGCAGCAGAAACAGCTCCTGCTGAAAGGTGCCGAGCAGAGGAAGCAGAGGCAAGCAACCAGAGGAACTGCGAAGCGCTGTGCGGCCACTGAGATACAGGCTAGGAACCTGCTCACGGTTCTGTCAAGCTTTCTAAGCACACTGTAAGCAGATGCTACTGCCCTGCTCTACGCAGCCATCTAGCACTGCACAGCAGTAGTATACTCTGCTTGACGTACGTGCAAATGCTAAAGCACTTGTTAGCAGTGGTGCAAGAAAGCCCCAGGCAGATTTCTTAACCTGAGGGCTGCCACACTCCCAGGCAGAAACGCAGTCACATCACACCAGTACCTGAGAAAGCCCCTAAAGGATTGGCACAGGGATAACAGTGACCCAGAATAAACACAGCAAATTCATTTCCTCCACCTGAGCGAACGCCTCCTCATTTCCCCCTACTTAAGCCACCAACCTTCAGCCATTTCAGCTCCTGTATCTGTTTCTCTCCCACTGGTTCCTGTCATCCTCCCAGCAGGCTGGACTGCAACTCAAACCCAACACTGCACACACACTGAGTCTCTTCCAGGCTTTCTCCACTCTTCTTCAAGTGCCTTTTGGACAGGGAAAACCAATATATGAGCATTCCTTGAAGCTTGCCTTAGGCCTCAAAGTAATGATTCTCACCTGCAGGCTAGGCTCCCTGACACAGAGCTAACACAGTGCTGGAGATGGCTGTGTGGCTGAGCAGCACAGACATACCACGCACCAGGAGTCACTCACAGAAGCTCAGCACAAGGAGTTTTATCAGCTGCTCTGCAGACCTCTGTGCTCTTGCTTGTGTCACTAGGTAATAAAGACCTGACAACAAAAACAGTGCAAATTTAGCCACTTAGAGCTGGCAAGGTTAATCAGCATACTTGATGCCCATTCCTTCAGTCCCTTCATCACTGAAGTGTAACAAAACGCTGCCAGCAGTGAAGATCACGTACAAAACCACTCCTTCCTTCCAACTGCACCCCTGCTTTGCACTGCACGTCTTTCATGCTGCCGTCTCTCCTTTAAGGAGGAGGGACAAGTTTATCCACACCCTCCTACAGCTCTCTGTTTAGAGACACTTATCTCATCCCAGCCTCAGGTTCCTTCTTGGCTTGAGAAACACGTGGTGTTCTCTGTACTCCCAGAGCAGCTTATCTCTATGGCCACGTTGAAGTTTCTCTCCATCATTATCTGAGTTGTCTTAACTGTCAACATTATGAAACCCTGCAACACAACGACACTGCATGAGGAACATATTTAAAAGCTTTTCTTCCAAATAAAATGAGTTTGTTTTCTTTCCACTTACAGTTAAAAATATTAACAACCATGGCCAAGTCTGAACTCGCCAGAACTCCGAAGCATTCCCTGAGCTGCCTATCAGAACAGCACGGACCCAGCACTGAGCATTCACCGACTGCTGTGCCACAGAGCTTCAGCTGAAGGCAGCAGAGCTCATTTTCACTAAAAACAACCTCTCTGCAGACTATCAGACAACGCGTGTCCAAAAAGTAACCCAGGGTAAAGCATCGCTCCATTAACTGAGGAAAACCAAGAAAAATGCAAGCCCTGAGCCAGTTTAGACGCAGGAGCTCTGGAAACTCAGATGTTCAGGATGTGAATACAGTGATCTCCTGCTGGCCCCAAAGAACAGCAAAGTTCTGGCTGCTGCCTGCCTTGTAAACAGTTCTGCTTCTAATTTACAGTTCTGGTCAGTAAGGAGAGAATCCCATTTCCCACACAAAGGTTAAGATGTGACAAACCTTCAGATTTACAAAGCACTCCCACTTCTACAGAAGGTATCCAGGAAATACAAACCATCCTATCAGCTTCACTGCCTTCCACCATTTCTAACACACCAGCAGCGCGCCCACAAGAGCTTTTCTACAAGTTTTGGGAGCACAAAGCTTCCCAAGTGCTTTTATGCACTGTGCTGTAGCAGTGCTACAGAATGCTGCCCATCATTTCCTAGAATGGACAATATAAGCCCAAATGCATTTCTGATTATGCATCCCTAGAAAGAAAGCACAGATCCATCTTCTCTGAAAGCCCTCATGCAGAAAGCACAGCCACCATGAAGCCAAACCTAAAACTCATGCATTTGACAACAAAAATTATATTCCCCATGAAGTTTCAGTCTTGGTTTCAGAGAGACCCCAACGCACCAGCTGCTCTGCCTCCCACCTGCTGATGTTCTGCCCCATTACATTCAGCACAGTAGCTGCCTTTTACTCGTACAAAATAACACACTGCTGCTTGCTGCACCTGGAAGGAGCTTTTTGAAAGAGATCTCTTTGTGCAGGCAGGAGAGTTTGCACATTTCTTCCTCCCAGTAGCAACTGAAAGATAAGGTTCAAGTCCCTTGACCCTGTAAGACCTACCAGTAACAGGACACCAGCTACTCTGTCAAAGTATCAATCCAAGCACTGGGACTTCCTAAAACGTCTGCTGCTTCTCCAGGAGCCCAGAATGACGCAACATCCCCCCAACCTCACGCCTATTTATTACCATAAAAAGTTTGCCTTGACACACATGCGGAGGCCAGCTATCTCCATATTTCTATGAGAACTTCTTCCTGCTGCAGCAAGCACACACAACGGCTACTCTTCCCTTTCAACATCACACCTACACCCACACGACACAGGACTTCTCTACTTTAAGAGGACAGAGGCAGCCTGAGCTGGGAAGAGGACGGCGGCAGAGGGCACATCACAGCCAGCTCACGTGAAATCCGCCGAGAGCTCAGAGGCTCTACCGGCTTGCAGGAGCACGGCTTTGTGATGACATTTCTTTTCCACACCACGTGAAGACTTTGACCTGAAGGCAATGTATTTATCTGCTATCTGCTCTCTACAAAACTGTAAAGCAGGATGGCCAATCGCAGGCAACAGGAGGTCACTGGCTGTTACGAATTGATTCTGAATCCAAGGGAAGCGCTCTCGCCTATCTGTTCTGGAGATGTCTATATATAGACCCTGCTAAATCACTGCTCAGAGCAATAAATGAGCGCCAGTCAACAAGTAACGGCTCTGAAAACGAGGGCAGAAAATACCGACCTACTTTTCTAGAGAAAAAAGGCACTTCACACACACAATCACCTTTTCTGTCCCATCTTTTGTACGTTTCCACTGCTTTAGCCCTGGAACATCTACTTAAGGAGGTGCCAAATTGAACTATTAAAAACAATCCGGCCAGAGTAAACCAGCATGGATTCTGCACACGAGACAGCACAGTTCCACACACTGCACAACGAACCTTTCCCACCAGCTCAAGAACGTCAGAGCGCTGCGCAGCTGCCTGCACACACAGCAACGTGCAGCCATCAGCTCTACCAGGAGTGAAGTTACAACAGGTGAGCAGCCAGAAGAAGAGACTTCTGCTCTGTAAGAAGTGCCTGTGAAAAACGCCTCCAGCTCCACAACTGCTGGTCAGGTGATTACTTACCCTACGGATGGAGCACACCGAAAGGCCGCTACAGAACACACAGAACCACGAACCGTTGAGGCTGCAGGCCCGTAAGGCCATCGGGTCCGACCGCCGCCCCCCCCCCGCACCCACCTCCCCAAGGCCGCATCTCCTCCGTACGGAGCAGCCGGGACGGCCGGCAGGGCAGCGCTCCGCCGGAGCGGGACCCCGAAGAACCGAGCGTCCGGCAGCCGCGCGGCCATCGTGCGGGGCGGCACAGCGAGCGGCTCGGCGGCGCGGGGCGAGGAACGGCAGGAGGGCGCCGGGCGCGGCGCGTACCGTCAGCGGGCTGCTGGAAGTTGACGTAGGCGTAACCGAGGGAGCGGCGGGTGATCATATCGCGACACACACGGATGGACAGCACGGGCCCCGCGGGGCTGAACTTCTCGTACAGCATCGCCTCGGTCACGTCGGGGTGCAGGTCGCCCACGTACAGCGAGGCCATGGGGTAGCCGCTGCCCGCCGCACTCATCGTCCGGACGGCTGCGCGCGCTCGGGGCGTCTGCGGGGAGAAACGCGGGTCAGAGGCGGCGCTGCCAGCGGGCGGGACCAGAGCCAGAACGCGGCGAACGGCGCGCCGCGACCCGCGCCGACCCAACCGAGCTCCCCCGATGGGCGCAGCCCCACGCGGCGGCCGGGATCGCACCGGGCCGCGGCCGCCCTCCCCCCCGCCGCCGCCGCCTCCTCCTCCTCCTCCCGGCCCCACTCACGCACTGCAGCCCAGCGGGCAGAGAAGGGGCGGCGCGCGGCTCCCGCCCCTTTATAGCCGCCGCGGCGCCGTGAGAGCCGCGTGCGGCGGGGAGGAGCCGGCAGGAGCGGCCCTTGCGGCGCGCCGTCCGCTGCAGCGCCGCCTTGCTGCGGGGAGGACCGCGGGGCGAGAGGCGCTCCCTGCCGGCCGTGGTGGCGTCCGGTCCGGAGGGCCGGCAGGGGGCAGCGGCGCCGCGCCGCGTGACGGCGAGAGCGGCCGGCGTGGAAAGGCGCTCGGCGCTGCCGTGTGCCGGCCTGCAGCGCGGCGCCGAGGGGCTCAGCGCTGCCGTGCGCCACCCACGGCCCCCGCCAGACCGCGCCAACCACAGCCCCGCGTTCCCATAGGCTCTTCATTGTGTTTTTAGCATGAAGAACAAGGATGCTCGGGGGACTTCGGGGATTTCCCCTACAGGGCAGATCAAAAGGTGCCAGGATGTGTTACCGGAGATGTTTAATCTTAGAAAAACCCTGGGAAAAAGAAGCAAAGATCCATTCCTCACCTACCACTGTAATCTCCGCGCTACTGTGGGGAGAAAACCCCCGAGGCCCGGAGCGATGCCTCCCACCGTTTGATGTGCAGCATTCAGGAAGTGGTTTCTCGCAGTCCCCGCTTTGCTTTACCCTGCAGCCCGCGGGGCTGTCGGTGAATGCCTCCCAAACCCGAGCCGTGCAGGGCTGGGCCCCCCCTGCCACCCCCTCCGCGTCGGGCAGCCCGGGCACCGGGGGTGGCTGTGCTCAATGGCCCCATTATTGCTCTCCCTGCTCCCAGACGGATGCTGCCTTCCTCCTCGCAGCTGCAGTTGCTCCTTTCCAGCAATTCCCAACACAGCACTTAAGGCGAGGATTTATGGGCGTTTTGGAAAGGCATTTTGGAGTGAGAAGGAGTTATGGGAAAGGAAGTTGAATTTTCACCATTCCCCAGCAAATTCTCCCAGCACCTTCCATGGCCGGGATCGCTGACGATCCTCCCCTCTGAACAGAGGCCATTCTCAGCTGCGGTTCTGTGCGGAGCATTTCCCACCGGCGTGGAGCTGAGAGGTGACTCTGGTTCTGCTCACAGAGGGTCAGCAGACAGAGGGCAGCCCTGCAGTCTGGCTGCAGGATTGGCCTCAGTGTGTCCCATTTCTGTGGATGCTGTGAGCTAAATGAAATGAGTTGTTCTCAAGCCATGGATTATTGCCAACCTCAGGGTGAGCGCTACAAGTTCCCTGCTAATTTCAACTCATGCAGTTGTTTGCAAAGTAAAAAGTCGTGGGAGAAGCCCTCACAAGCAGCGTTCCTGTTGGGGACGTTCCCTTACACTACACCTCAACAAAGATCCTCTGCTGCAAAGCCGATGGTCGTCCCAGCAGCCAGACAGGCAGAACAGCTGCACATCAAGACTGCATTTCACACCAACAGGGGTTGGAAAGATTTTATTTGCCACTTTTGCTGGATGTCACAGCTGTGACTCTAACAGCGAGGCTGGGCTGCTTGCTGCAGCTCTGGCACACCGAGGAACAGCCGGGGCCACAGCCTCCTCTGACTTTACTGCAAGGGAAATTGTTCCCGGCTGCTTCTGACACTGAGGAACAGGGGTGAGGAAGAGCAGCAGAGGCGTTTCTGTATGTTAAGTGCAGTGGCATTCAGCAGAACAACCAGGAGGACTCACTCTCGAGCAGCAGTGCTGCACACATCATGTGCTCTGCAGGAACGCAGCCCGGCACGCTGCGCCTTCCTCCTGGGGTGGGGGAGAGTCTCTGCCAGGATGGAGCTTCTCCGTCTTTTCCACTGCTGCGCTGATCTCTACACACTTTTCTTTTTGGGCCACAGCTGCTGATGTGGGGAGATCCTTGGGGTGGGTGTGCAGCCGGGGACAGGTCCATCCCGGCAAACGAAGGCACAGATCCAGGCACAGCCCCACGGAAAGGGCGAGCGCTGGGACACCCAGCCCTGAGCACTGCAGGGATGCGGCTCCAGAGCTTGAGAGCTTCGAGTTTGTGTTCCTCCCTGCCCGGAGGAGAGGGGGTGAGAGGACAGGAGCAAGGGTGATTCTGCAGCACTGGTTATCCAGAGTGCACGGCAGGGCAGGAAAAGCTCTTGGGAATGGGACAAGTGCAGACCCGGTGCCGGCCAAGGGCTGCAGTGCAGCACCCATGGTGTCTGGTCCTGGCCCAGGGGTGAGCAACATGAGACCACGACACGGTGCTGGAGAGAGAAAACAGAGACACTGTGGGAGGAGAAGGGCCAAGAGAAGACTGGGAGGCACTTGGAATGCTGGTCTGACCGCTCTGCACTGCGCACTCGGTGGGGAAAGAGGTGAGACGGCTCCTGCAGGGCAACGGGCAGAGGGAAGGGCTGCTCTTCTCACATCAGTGTCGGAGTCGTCCCCTCCCCGCTGAGTCCCTTTGAAATCCCGTGTCTCACCTCTTCACACCCGGCTGTGGGCTGAGGGCTGCCAGTGGGAGCCCAGCAGTGCTCCGCTGTGAGCAGGATGATTTGGGGCTCAGCGAGGAGAGCGGCGTTCAGTCAGGGCAGCAGAACCAATCCCAAGACCACGGAATTGGGTGCTGCAGCTGGGGGACACGGCCTGAGTGAGTCCATCCAGGAGCTCCGAGTCCCCGAGGAGATAAGGCAGCAGACAACAGTGTCGGGCTCTGCCGGAGGGCCGGGGTCTGCAGTGCCCCCCATCCCAGAGAACGCGTGGAAGCGGATGGCGCTGACATTTGTGGGCACGGCGAAGGAGAGGATGAGCGATGGTGAGGCGAGGAAGGCAGCGTGAGGAGCGAGGCGAGGGGACAGCAAAGAGAATCTTCCGGATGGGTCCTTGGCTTCCGCAAACAGGAGAGGCGCCCGGTCGGCCGGTCCACGGGCAGCGGGCACCGAGGGCTCAGAAGGCGCCGATCTCCGTGGCCCAGGAGCGGCACAGCCGGGCCGCCCCCACCCTGAGCGCGGGTCCCTGCGCGGCCGCACCCAGCACCGCGGGCGCAGCGTAGGCTGCGGGCAGAGGAACGCCGGCGGGAGAGAAGAGCAGAGCGGAGATGGGGCTGCCCTTGGCCGAGCCCCCCCTCGGCGCTCCCGACGGAGACGGCATCCGGGCTGCGGCCGCCGCGGTCGAAGCCGAGGGGGCACCGCGGGCCCTGCGGGCCGAGGAAGCGATCCTGCCGGGCACGGAGCCGCGGTGTGACGGCAGCACGTCGGCGGGGACGCGGCGCACCGGGGCCGGCCTGGCGGCGAGGCGCGGGTAGGACGCAGTCACAAGGAGAGGAGCGGGAGCGGCGTCCCGGCGCGGCAGCGGCACCGGGCTGTGCAGAAAGGACCACGGCCACGTCGGCACGGGGAGCAGCGAAGCGGCCGCCGGGGAGGGCTCCATCTCGGCCACGTAGTTGTTGAGGTGGGAGAGGAGCCGCAGGCGGATGGGGTCGGCGGTGCTCTGCCCCTCCAGGACGCCCAGGTACCGCACCACCTCGGTGAGGCACTCGCGAAAGCCGATGCTCCTGTAGTCCACGGCCAGAGCACGAGCATCCAGGAACCCTGCAGGGACACGGGGACGGTCAGGAAAGCACGTGAGCCCCACCACCCTCTCTGCCGCACCGCTTTGCTGCCGTGTGATGCCCTGCAGCAGACAGCCCAGCCGGGTGACAGCAGCATCGGTTATCTCGGTGGGATACGACTGCCGGGTCGTGAAGCCCTTTACTCTCGTGTGTGGGACGAGCAATAAGGTTCATTAGCTGTGCTCAGGGAGGACGACAGCTTTTCTTTTGGGCTCTTTGAGTTCTGGCTGCTGAGGACGTGCAGATGGTCAGCGTGTGCTGGGAACCTCCCTATGGCAGCGCCGGGCCGATGCGCATCTCCTCTGTGCACAGCCTGAGTTCCTCTGCCTGAGTCCCGGTGACTTCAGCCCTTCACACTTCCCTCCCTGACCTCCCACTGAGGGAATGGATGAACCAGGGCCACTGGGCTGGGAAAGCTCGGAGCCACATGAAAACCAACAAGATAAAACACAATGGCTGATTTTTCGGCTTCTGCTCCCTCCTTGTAGCTTGGTGAGACAGTAGGCAACAAAGCAGAGAATGTCACAGAGCAGTGGAGCACTGGACCACTCTGCTTGCCGGGGTCTCTGGGGACAATGCAGCCCTTTGTTGCAGTGCAGTCAAAGTGAATA